GCGTTGTAGATGATCTACTTATATTCACTGGAGCTGAGATTAAAACAATCCAAAGAATCAAGAATGCACTTGATCACTTTACAAGTGCCACAAGTCTGAGTATCATCTTCAATAAGTCTAATATGTACTTTGGAGGATCTTCAGATAGTGTACAGCAGTAAATCGGGAATATCATGCAGTTTGAAATAGGTGATTTTCCTATGAATTATATGGGCTTGCCGGTTGCTCCAACTGCTTGGACTAAATCAGATTGCCAATGCTTAGTAGACAAAGTCACAACAAGAATGAAATGTTGGGAAACAAGTAACTTGTCTTATGCAGTGAAGACAGTGTTAGTAAATGTTGTCCTGATGACTCTTCATTCATATTGGGCTAGCATCTTCCTACTGCCACAATCAGTGATTCAGCAAATCAAGCCTGCTGTAGGAGATTCGTGTGGGGAAGTAAAGATAATAGAGGATGCACTTCACTGGTGGCATGGGAAGACATTTGCAGGAAAAAAGAAGAAGGTGGACTGAATTAATGTTAAGGAACCAGAAGCTTGGAACAAAGCTTTGCTTGGAAAGCAGCTGTGGGATTTGGAAAGAAATAAAGAGAGCCTGTGGATCAAGTGGATGCATATCTACTACCTCAAAGGCCAAAGCATATAGGATTATACTCCACCAGCAGATTGTAGCTGGCACTGGAGGAAGCTGATCAGACTTAGAAATGAGCTCAAACCAGCTGTCCTTAATGGTGAATAGTCTGCAAATCAAGGAAAACCTTACACTGCAATCATGGCTATGACTGGCTTAGAGGAAGAAAGGAGAAGACAAAGGAAGCATTGATCATTTGAAGCAAGTTCTCACTTCCCAAACGCAGCTTTTGAAGTTGGCTGGCATGGAAAAGCAGATTATGAACGCGAGATAGGCTGATGAAAATGGGAATGCCAGTGCTTGATAAACAAGTTTGTTGTGCGGTAAAGAAGATGAGACCATAAAACATCTACTCTTCCACTGTGTTTACAGTCAAGAGCTGATGGAATCTCAACTGAAATGGTTGGGATTGAGGACTGGAATCAAAAAAACTAAAATGTGGATGCCTGTTTAACATCTAGAAGTCCAAAACCCTGAAAAGGAAAGTTATGTTTGCATGTGTAAACACAGCCATTCATCACATTTGGACATAATGAAATGCCAGATATTCATAGGAGAATCAGAATCAGCCAAAAGCAGGAGTCTGAAAATTCAGAATGAGGTGAAATGTCGAATTATTCACTTGTATAAGAATGGTAGTGGTGATGATGTTTGATTCTTGGAGTACCTTGGTGTACATATTAGATAATTCTTGGTGTAAATTTCTCCTGTAAATTCAAAGTTCATCAATGAAAGTTTACATTTTACCGGAAAAAAAAAAAAGATAAACCTGCCAACCTTTCTTACCTAATGGATACCCCACAAAAATGCACTTACGACTACGACTGGCAAATTTATCACCTATCCGATCCTGATTATACACGTAACACAAGCACCCAAATACTCGTAAATGACCAAGAGAAGGTGGTTTGCCGAACAATATCTCATAAGGGGTTTTCCCATATAAAACAGGAGTAGGTAGGCGGTTAATCAAGTACCCAGTAGTTAAAATACAATGACCCCAAAATTCAAGAGGCAAATGAGCTTGAAAACGTAAAGCACGAGCAACATTAAGAATGTGTTGATGTTTACATTCAACATGCCCATTCTGCTGAGGAGTGCCAACGCAAGAAGGCTCATGAATAATACCATTTTGGCAAAAGTATGATCCCATACACATAAATTCAGTGCCATCATCACTCCGAACAGTTTTAACCAATTTATCAAATTGTCTATGCACCAAAGCAAAGAAAATTGCATAAAGTCGAAGACACTAACTTTTTATCATCTAGCAAATATATCCATGTGCCACGAGAGTAATCATCAACGATAGCAGAAAATAGCAAGCACCACAGAAAGCAGGAACTCGATATGGACCCCACAAATCAAAATGGATCAATTGAAAAATTTCAGTACTTTTAGTTTCACTAAGGGGAAAACTATTCCTTGCATGTTTGGCCCGAAAACAAGCATCACAAGACTTATCACGATGAGAACTAGCAGTACTAGAATCAGCAATAGACAATTGTTCGAGGACTCTGGAAGACAGATGGCCCAACCGTTGGTGCCAGAGATAAAATGAGACCTCACGCTTAGTCCGAACAGCTGCTGTAGAATTCATTGTCCCTCGAAAGAAGTAGAAGCCCCCAACTGCTCACCCACTCCGACCACCATCCTCGAAGTCCGATCCTGAATAACACAAAATTCATCAGTGAATTGTGCAATACAATGAGATTGGGCCAACAGTTGAGATAATGAAATCAAGCTACACTGTAAACTGGGAATAAAGAAAACATTATATAAAAACACACGAATACTAAGTCGCACCGTCCCAACCTTGTTAGCCATAGTCAATGCACCATTTGGTAGTTGAACAGGACGAGGCGGAATATCCCTGGAAAAATATCCCAAATATCCAGTCATATGATGTGAAGCACCACAATTATACATCCATGTAGAAAGCTACTTACTACACAACTTTTTACAAAACTGCAATAAATCAATTACGGTAACTCACTGTTCATTATTTAACCCAGTAAGCGCTACCCTATCATTCTCATCAATAATAAAAATAAAAATGTCATTGTCATTATTTACTTGGACCAAATTAGCCCAAATTGAACCACCACCACTACCTACTCGAACATGATTGCCCCGGGCCGGAGTTGAAAGAAATAACTCATCCTTCATGGATTGCTTGTCTTGAACTGAATTATCAAGAACCCCAAATCGGTTCTTGGTCATTGCTGACCGAGCCTCTGCGGAGACCGAACCTGCACCTCCATAGCCCAATCCACCGCATAGAAAAACTCCGTAGTCACCATATGCTAACCCCATAGCCATGGCCATCATCATCACCACCGCGGTCATCATCACCACCATGGTCAACACCAAGCCCATCATCATCACCATGGACATCATCACCACAGCCATCACGTAATGGTAAGCAATCACAAGAAACAAAATTCTGCCCAGATCGTCAATCATTTTTCCAAGGAAAAAAAAAACAAACTATTGCGGCCGCACCTTTCAAGGAAAATCAAAGTCGTACCTTCTGTGGTCGACAAAGTAGTTAAAAAAAAAATTTAAACAAACATCAACCTGCTCTGTATACCATAACAAAAAGAACCAAGGCTGAATCCATTGGTAGAATCCTGATAGTGTCTCAAAAAAACAGCGGCAAAAAATGAGTACATATATATATTACACGCCCCTTAGGGTTTTTACCATGCTAACCCTAACTAACTTACCCAAGTATAAAGTAAATACAATAATTACATATTATATATCGTAACAATACCCTTTCGACAACATCCTTGTGACCATAAATCCAAATAATCAAATAAGTACATTGAACCTTAAATTAAGGTGTGATATAGAAGGCTTTATATTATAGAGAAAAAAATTTATAAAAAAAAATCCAAAAACAAAAACCATCATTGGACAAATTCCTCGTATGATCATAGTTGAACTGTGGACTCTTCCGAGAACAGAAGTCTCATATAATTACTCGATAATGAAACGTGGTAGGGAGAAGGAGATAGAGGAGAAACTATATATTGATAGGTGGTTTTACTTTGTATAGATTGTAAGGTTTTTGTAATTTTGAATTTCTGATCTTGACAAAAATTGTAAGGTGATATAATTTTTTCCCCTTTAATCTCGACTATTTTCGGACGATAGCTAATCCTCCAATAATTAGTAACACCACATTCCTCCCCTTTGAATTTGACTTGTTCGTTTTTGGTATTAAAATTGGTGACAGTAAAATAATTTAGAATTTACAATAGGCAAATGCTGATTATCATTCTATGGTATTAGATTTGGCAACAAGGACTAGTTAGAATATTTTTGTATTCCATCCGGTCTTTAATATAAGGTATGTTGATTTGTCATAAGTTTCACTTAGTATGCATTTTTAAGCGACAAAAAAACCTTAAAAATATTTTCTAACAGTCAAGAGAACACAACGAAAGTGAAAATATATTTTTAAGGTTCTTTTTTCGATTAAAAATAAATATTAAGAGAAATTTAGGACAAATCAAAATGACTTATATTAAGAACCAGAGGGAGTATTAAGTTGGATGATAGGTTCATTCGTCTAAAGGACTAAATTGATGGAAAGTTCAAAATTAAGAATTTGACAAGTTACTAATTTTGATTAAACTGACGACCGGATGAAAAGTTTGGACTAAAACGCCTGTTTTCCCCTAACTGGCGACAGCTATCTTGTTTACTTTCTGCCCTTCTTTCTAATTCCCACTCATCGATTTTTTGTAGCCCTTCTTTCTAATTATACAACGTTCAAGTCACTTCTTTACCGTTTTATGGTATTCATGAACTGAAGAATGAAAAAACCTAATGTCACACATTTAAAATTGTCTACGGTAAAACATGCATCCGTAAATTAATTTAGGAGTCCTCAGGTAGTTTATAGTTCTTTATCCATGTTATTTATCAAAAAATTGATGCTTCTTATAAGACGCACATTATAAAGTGCCGCAATGGTGCCACAAATATGCGGCGCATTATTAGAAAAACCCTATTTTCCTCTGGCATTCAGGGCCTTTAGACTCGTGGTGCTGTATTATTATCCATTCACTTGTATGTATTAAATTGATTTTAAAGTTATTATTACTAACTTTATGGTCATCTAAATTGGTTTTGTAGTCCATTTTGAAAGTGAGCAAGCTATCCATATTATCCATATGCAGTTTTTTTTTTTTCCTTTCAATTCCACTTTTATTTTTAAAGTGTGTAAAAATTGCTGTAAACAATGTGACGGTATAAACGGAGAACATTACTATTGCTCTATGATTACCAAAAGATAAGGATTTACCTCGAAGGCGATGTGTAGCATTGGAGGAACCTATACAATTGTGCATATGCCTACAAATAATCAAATGTGCCGATAATTTAAGCAAGATTTGGTGTAGCGTAATTCGAAAAAATCTGCCGGAGTCAATCTAGCATGCCATCAATTATAATAGAACTTGCGATTCTTGATCAAAAGTTCTTTCCAAATTTATGAACATGGCCAATTTTTTATATCCAATTTTCTGTTGTCTAAGTCTCTTTGTAATTTATCCTATGTTTAATGGTGTTGTCTTTAGTATAAGAACTGTTCATGTAAGCGTTATGCAGTGGTGAATATGTAAACTAAAAGGTGCTAGTTTAATGTCTATCCCAATGTGCATGTTGTAAACTAAAAGGTGCTAGTTTAATGTCCTATTGGCATTGTAAACTAGTGCTACAAAGTACTATCACTGTTGAAATGAACGAAGCTACTGCCAGCAAGCACTTTGACGCCGTTTTCGTTCATCATAGATCTTAAATTTGCAGCATTAGACCATGAACCACCAGATGCGTACATGTTAGATGCCAACAAATATCCAGCACTAACACTTGGCTCTAATTGAAGAAGATGAGGTAGAACACCTTCTCCAACTTCACTATCACCGGAATGGCGACAAGCACTCAAGATTGAACTCCATGCACTCGCGCCTACCTTACTTCCCTGAGACATTTTTTCCACCAAATCCATTGCATCACCAACCTTTCCAGCTCGAGCCAACAAGTCAACAAGACAAGAATAATGTTTTAGCCCAATTTTAGCCCCATACTCTTGTACCAAGTTCTTGAAAATAGACAAGCCCTTCTCGACCAATCCCCCATGGCTACATGCAGACAACAGAGAAAGGCTAGTTACTAGGTTTGGCTTGAGACCTTGGGATTCCATTTGTGAAAGTAAAAGCAAGGCATCATGTGGAAGACCATTCGTACCATATGCTGCAATCATGGCACTGCACGTTACAACATCTCTTTGGGGCATTTGCTCGAAAACTTTTCTTGAAGCCTCCACTGAACCACATTTGGCGTACATGTCCAATAACGCAGTTCCAACTGCTGAATTAGAATCTAGGCCATAACAGATAGTAATAGCATGAGCCCACTCTAATATTGCCAGTTCGGAATACAGAGAGCATGCCTCAAAAAGATTCAGCATGGTAACTGCGTTGAACTTTTCTTTACGCTGCTTCATTTGTACAAAAACAAAAATTGCTTCAGCGGGCATGCCACAGTAAGTAAAAGCTGCAATCATGGTGCTCCAAGTAACTACATCTCTGTGCTTCATACAACTGAATAGTTTCCACACAAGACTAATGCAATAGCACTTAGCATATGCATCCATTAAAGAATTGTTAACCAGGTGGTTAGACTCGTAACCCTGCCGAAAAACTCTAGAATGGATTAGCTTGCAAGCATATGGGTCTTTGAGATGTTTGCATACTTGAAGCAGATTCACAAAAGTCACTCCATCAGCTTCAAATCCAACTTTTCTCATTGAAAGAATCAGTCCGAGAGCATCTGAATGCTTTTCACTTTGTACATATCCAGATAGTAACGAATTCCAGGACACTGCATTCTTTTGAGGCATCTCACTGAATACTGTAAAAGCAGAATCAACATCATCACACTTGGCATAGAAATCTATCAAAGAATTCCCCACAAATAAGTCATTCTTCAGGCCTTTGGATATGACAAAGGCATGAATTGAATTGCCAATCCGGATGTTTTGTAGATAGGTGCAAGCTTTGAGTACAGTTACTATGATTGGTCCATCTGCTTCAATAGTAGACTCATTTACCATTAGCTGAAACAAATTCAAGGCAACTGCAGGTTCATCAAATTTTGTGTGGCTAACAATTATAGCACTCCAAGAAATCACATCTCTATCAATCATTTCATCGAAAAGTTTTCGAGCAGACCCTAACCCGATGTCTGCATACAAGCACAAAAGCGAGTTTTGAACTGAAGAAATGGTCCAGAACCCACTTTTCACAACGTAACCATGAACTACAAGCCCCTCATCAAAGCAGAAGAGTTCCCGACATGCACGAATCACAAGCACCAAAGTTGATATATTGGGTTTGAACCCTGAGATTTTGGCATGGAAAAACAAGTCTAACCCACGTTCTGAAGCAAAGTGAACAAGGTGCTCATGAATCATTATGTTCCATGAAACAGAATCTTTATTTTCCAGGCCATCAAAAACAACAGCAGCGCAACTTAGGGCTTGTGATTTCAGATAAAAGTCAATGATTGAATTTCCCATGGAAGTATATGAATCAAGTCCCAGTTTAATCGAAGATGCGTGGATGGATTTTCCATATTCAAATGAAACCACAGAACAAGCCTTGAGAACTGGATGGAAAAGAGAAGGATCTGAAAATCGAATCCCAGCCCCCTTCAACTCATGGTGAAAAGAGAGAACCCCTTTCCAATTCCCTTTAGCAGCCAACTCTTTCATGCTCAGAAGCCAGTCTGGAAGTTTTGAAACTGATGAAATAGTAGGGAGGCGCATTTTCACGGAGCACTTGAGCTAAAAGTGAAAGTATAACGCTAACCCCTTTAGTATTTCAGCTATTCAACTCCTTCTAACCAATAGCAAAACAGAAAGCTACTGAGGATTGAAGTCATACAGTCTTGCAGGTAAGAAAGAAAACATCCAGATAGCATGATCATCCTTTTCCATTTTTAGCGGCAGCCTTCATCTGTTCATATAACGATGATTACCTCTTAATAGCTTGCATATATTACAACTCCTGAAACACAAAATGAAGTTATTGGGTAAATATCATGAAATTTTACAAACCAGTACAACTTAGCAATCTATAAAAGCAATTTCCATTTTCCAATCAAAAGGGTTAGTGCTTTACTGAAATTTGGAAGGTGCTTGAACTGTTAGTTTAGGAATAAAAGAGTAAAAATTTTGACTTTGTTACAACTTCATCAGCGTAGTTACTCTTCAATTTTCTTCAGGAAACTGATTTTAGGTTTGATGTCAAATCTAAGGTTAGATAGGTGTAAGTTTAGTTTACTTGATTGTTCTTAGTTACTACTACAAGCCTGATTTTAGGTTTGATGTCAAATCTAAGGTTAGATAGGTGTAATATTAGTTTACTTAATTGTTCTTAGTTACTAGTACAAGCCGCTATGTTTCTGACTTTCTGACTTATTGAACTAGTATATCATAAACATTCAAGACAAATCACATATCCTTTCATACTCAAAGCCCTGAATCTATATAATTCACATAGCTAATGCTTAAGTATAGATCATGTGACCGCCCACAATTTGACAGCTCAACTTTGGACGAGCTTAAAAGTTTCGGGCCGCCCCCCGAGCGATCTCTCGCTCAAGGCTTCATCATTATAATCTAACCACACAGTGGAAGGCAATCACATGCAAGTCCCAAGAGGAATCACTCACCTCCAATAAATGAGCTATCCTTTTCCAAGTAACAAATTAAATGTCAAGAGACCTTCATTCTTTCAACCTATGAGCTATATCATAAACCTTGATGGACAGAGAATTCAAACGAAAAAATTTCATTAGGAAAGGGTTTAGGTCAAAGAAAAGTGACACTTCAAAGTGAACATTTCAAATTCTCCGTTCTGAATTTTCAGAACAAAGGTGGCTCGGTGACCACATTCAAAGGACATTTTCGCACAACTCACTATTAGTTTCAACAAAGCATCAACCAACATTGAAGTACGATAAACAGAGAGGAATTTCATCAAAAGAATTCAGAGAAGAAGGCTCAGAAATCAGAAGAAACGAGCCTCCAAAACAGAAGCTTAAAACCAGATTTTTCAGACAGAAATTCAGTGCCGGAGATGCCCTGTTTAAACTTGATTTTTGCACTACCCGTAACTGCATTTTGAAATCCGTAAAAACCACATCATACCACAATAAATGGAGAAGAGTTTTCCAAAAAGAAATTCTGAGAAAGAGTAAAAGACCCCAGAGAAATAGGCCTGTTAAGAGAAGAGGTCCGGTCTGATTTTTCTGTGATTTCAGTGACGATTTTTCGGACAAACCAGGAGTCCGTTTACAAATCCGTAATGAAACATAGAAGAGATTCGAATCAAGAAATCCTAGAAAAGGATTCGAGATATAGGAGAAACAAGCGACTCAACAGGCGGAGTCAATTCTGTTCTTCTGTATTTTCAGCAAACACATAGTGAGCATGTTTCGTTTCTACTCACATGCAATCGTTTCCAAACCAAACCATGATTCTTAGATAATCCATTATTCATCTTCCATATTCTATAAACATTTTTCCAGCAACAACTAAAACTTACAGACAACTCAAGAACTAAAGATTTAGCAACATAGCATGCTTTACTTAAACTTTCAATTTCAAACTCGCAAGTATTTCCCCCAATTTTATAACTAATATTAAAGAGGAAAAAATTCATTCAATACATTGAGCTACAAGAATTGAGCATTAAGTCTCAATTACCTTAATCATGAGCTCTCCTCTTCACTTCTCCCGGTGCCCCCTTCTCGGTTCCTTCTTCCTTTTTCTCACTCCCGATCGTTTCTTTCCTTCTCTTTAATTAAAATCGATAGTTTCAACCCCCTTTTCCCTCCTCTAGTTTAGTTAATTTTCTTGTATTTTTTTTTTTAAAAAAAAGTTTGAATTTTTAATTAACTATTATAGTGCGATAAAATTTTAGAAATAACTCAAGATTTATTGAAGTGGTTAAAGTAAAAAATCTTAGTTTTGTTTTTTTTTTAATTTGAATTTTAAATAATTTACTATGACTCAGTAAATTTTTAAAGTTACGGTGTGTTGGAGTTAGAAGTGCAGCATAATTAACATTTACTTTAGTAAAGAAAAAAAGTAATTTTGAAAATAATTTAAATTTTAAAATTTTAAAATAATATTTTAAATTAATAAATAATATTTTGACAATTAAATAACAAATATGAATTTTTTTTAATATTTTTAACAATAATTAATCTAAAAAGTACCACAACTTCGTCTTCTATATTCGTTCACCATCATAAGTTCAAAAATAATTTAAGTCCCACCAAAAGTTGAGTGTCTGTCTTTATCCACTTTTTCGTCTGTTACCCGTTAAAAAAGTAACGGAAGGCTGATTTACATGTACTTTTACAGAAGGGGCTATTTTGTCATTTTGTTACTGAAATGGCCAAACACACGACTCGTTGACTATTCAGAATGACCCATGGATTTTTACTATTAACATGTATTTTATTTATATTTACCGATTTATTATTTACTATAAGTAACTTTTACCACTATATATTAACAAATCTCAATTCTCCTTCAAAAATTCCTAATTTCCATCGGGTCACAGTCTCTTCTCTTCCTGTCGTATCCACCACCTCAAAAAGAAAAAAAAAATTGAAGACCGGAGAGAAATCCTAAGTGAAGCATATACTTGAAAGCAAGCCAGAAAAATCGAATTTTGCTTCCATTTCCAATCTTTGTTCCTTAAAATTAGAAACATTTTAACAAAATGGGAAACTCCTAATTTCTCACTACCACCACTAGCAGCAAAAGAACAGAAAGGAAACTAAACGAAACCCTCTTACCACCGACCAAAGGAGAACGGAAAAATTTAAAGAATGAGCTCCGGGAGAAAATTAAAACCCATGGGCTTTTTTTTTCTCCGATCTGACACGATAGAAAATGATTGGACTTTCTGTTATGGTCAAACGATGGCATTCGAGTTCAACCCCGACAGAGGTATCAACATCGGAGCTTAATATCATAATTTGCCGGACTTAAAATTTTCTTTGAGATATGTAAACGGCGGTTTATTTTAATTCAAATCCAGCGGAGAAGAGATAGAGGAAGGAAGAAAATAGAAACTAGAAAAAGAAGAAGGGAGAAAGAAGAAAGAGATGACTAATGGTGGTGGGAGGCTGAGAAGAAGAAGGGAGAAAGAAGAAAGATATGAATGATGGTGGTGGGCGGCTGAGAAGAAGAAGGGAGAAAGAAGAAAGAGATGATCGATGGTGGTGGACGGCTGGGATTTTTTTATTTTTTATTTTTTGTTTTTGCACGTGCCTTGCACGTAATAGCTGCCTCCACAACCCAAAAATTTTCCAGCCTTTATACGGGTCATGCGGGTCCTTGAACCAGGTCAATACTTTATACGGGTCATACGGGTCTTTATTGTGATTAAATGACAAAATTACCCTTTCTACAAAAGCACGTGCAAGTCAGGTTGTCGTTGGCTTTTTGACGAGAATAGGACGGAAAAGTGGAAAAAGAGAGAAACTCAACTTTTGGCGGGCCTTAAGTTGTTTTTGAACTTATGGTGGTGAACGAATATAGCATACGAAGTTATGGTACTTTTTAGGTTAATTATTGTATTTTTAATGATTTAAATTTTAATGGAAGTTCAAATTATATGAAAAGACGAAAATACTCCTGATTCCGGCATGTCAACTGCCGGTTAATATCGAGTTGGACGAAAAAGTGGTCGAAATAGTGAAATGGGACCAAAAAAGTGTGAAAACATAATGTTTGGGACTACGATATTGAAATGTTAATGTTAGAGACATAAAATCAAGTAAGCCCAAATGTAAAGGACCCTTTGGACATTTTAGTCTAAACTGAAAATAAAAGTGACATTGGCAGCCAGCATAAAGAAGGAATACTGATGGCCAAAAAAATTAGCTAATAAATAAGAGTACCTGTCACTACATATTAGGATATGCCCTCAAAGAGATTTAACTCAACATTTAAGTTAGATGATGGATCACCTATATCCAACAAGTAGAAAAAAAAAACATCTCATGCACTAGAATTCATGGAAACAAAAACAGAATAATGTTGGATAACAAAAATCATAAAATTCATATCAGTGATAACATGATCAGATTTTCACCTTTGAGGTAATGTAGCATTTTCGGTCTTTCCTTGACCACGCTTTTCGAGGGAGCTCTTTATTCTTTTGTTTGTCCCCCCTTTCGTTTGCACGCGTGGGAGATTCTTGACAACCTTCTTGCTAACAGATGCACAAATTTGTTCACTTTCAACAAAACCGATACCAACGCGGTTACTATGGCTCAACTTCTCCTTATAGCTTTTTATTTTCTCATATACTTGATTAATTAGTTCTTCAAAAATTTGAATAGCCTTCACATCAAATGTAGCCAACCTTGCTTGTTTTGTGCATAAGCTTACTAAAAACAATTGTTTTTGACTCCTTCATATCACCTTTGACTGATAAAATACTTTGGTCACGAATATGAATGTCTTTTGCATTCTTTGTCCACCTTTTCAAAATGTACTTTTCAGGTATTTTGCTGTCATTTTTAGTCACATTTAATATCCTCAAAATATGACATCAAAATAAACCCAAAACCTCAAACTTCTTGCAACTACAAGTAATATCAAACTTTGAAGTATCAAACAAAACAATGTGTACCTTTGATTAGTTCTCTTTCTTCACTTTTATAGCAATCAACGATGCCATCACGAGCATATTCAATGATTTTTTCCCCGACACCTTTGAAAAATTCATCTTGAAACATGTCGAACAATTTGCAAGTATACACTTCAGCTGCATGCATCAAGATTCCACTAGGTATGCGAACATGAGGTCTTCCATACACACTACGAAAATCTTTAGTGTTCTCAGCCTAGTGCATTTTTTTCCTGCATTTTTCTCATAATGCTTAAAGAACTCAATTAAAGTCAAACTCTTACAAGACATGGTTTGAAAGACATTGTCAGTACTTTCGCTTCTCTGGGTGGACATCATATTTGCATAAAAGTGATCATGACTAAACACAGAAGACCACTTTCTACGAACTTCAAAAGCTTTTGAAGCCAGTTATTCTCTTGTAAACCCCACTCTTCAATCATTTTTCTCCAATGATGCTCAAACTCCTCCTAAGTGTCCTAACCATTAAAGAAATTGTGAAATTTCTTTTTAAACTCAGGCTTACCATAAGATGCAGGTTATTGTTGGCAGCATTTTTACATATGTGCCAAGAGCATAGCCGATGACATGAGTTAGGGAAAACATGTTTAACAGCATTAGCCATAGCAACATCTTGGTGTGTGAAAATAATCTGTGGCTCCTTCTTTCCCATTGCTTGCTTAAAAATCTCGAATAGCCATACAAAAGAGCCAATAGTTTCATCAAGAAGAAAGGCACAACCAAATAATTTATTCTGTCAATAATGATTTACTCCTACAAATGGTGCACATGGCATATTATACTTGTTTTTCCGGAAAGTAGTATCAAAAATCACAACATCACCAAAACAACCATAATCTAACTTGGACATTGCATCTCTCTAAAATATATTAGTTAGACAATTTTGATCATCAAGTTGTGGTGTATAGAAAAACATGGGGTCGTTAGCTTGCTTAAGCTGAAAATGATTTAAAAGAGCTTGCACATCTCTAGTTTCAAACAGATTCATCCTTGTTCTATTTACATAATTCTGAAAATCCCTTTTAGTACATGAAACATATTGGCATCCACCAAATTCTCCAGCAACAAAATCATGAGCCTTTACTGGCCCAATGACTGACATATACAACGAATCAACTACATCTTTTGCAACTTGTAACATTTTTCTCCTAGACCTTAACAAATGTCTTTGCTCTGACAAAGCAAATTCATGGTTATGATCATCATTGAAACGAACAATTTCCCATATACTATTTTCCACCCTAAATGTCACAAGAGCAGTACATCTAGTCCTAGTTTCCAACCGATCAGCTTTTTTCACTTCTAAATTGAAATTGATCGCCGCTCCTATTTGATGAAGCAGGAGCCAGAACCATTCAAAAACTAAGATGACGATTTGTTCTGATAATTGTAGGAAAAATATTTTCCCGCCACTTTCTTGATCGAGAGTCATTGTAAATCTTCCTTTTTCGGTAACAATCTGTCACGTGAATCGTGGGTGAGATGAGGGGGGAATTTGAATAATTGATTTGAGATTTAGGGATATTGCTCGTTGAAAGAAACCAACCTGAGGATAAAAATTAATCAACGGTTAAAATAAATGAGAGAGTTACATTAAAAAAAAACAGATGTCATAACGGGGTAGGTTTGCTGTACCACCTCACGTAGCGGCTGTTTAGAATAAGGGCGATGATTCTGGCACAACAATATTTAGCATCCAAAACAAAAATAATTTCTCTTTTCAAAATTACCCTTATGAAATTAAAGTTATTTTTCTTTCTCTTCTCTCTCTTTATTGTTACATAATATCACTTTCCTAATTATAGTTATAATTTTGCGTAGCATATAACATATCAAACATTCACATATAGAAATCTCGAATACAGCTTGCATTAAAGAACAAACGAACCCCAACTGTGTTAATAAATTTTTCCCAAATCTACTATTTTATACCAAATACTAGAGCAACTAGAGTTACAAAATTTTGATCTTGGGAAATTGCAGTATGTAATTATGTCTTTCGCCCAGAAATCACTTAGCGACGGCTTATTTTTCCTAGTTAAACTCATACTGAAAAACTAGGAAGCCAGATCAACACCACCCCACCCTTACACCTCCCCCCTGTAAAAAAACTCCATAGATGCTAAAGACCAATCAGTTCGAAAAAAATTTTGCAGATCCAAATCTTTTAAGAAAACAAACCTGCAAAGCAAGTATGAAATTTAATCAAATGAACTCCACCGTTAAAAATCAATCAAACGAAGCATAGAACTTACTCTCGCAAATTTGATCATTTGTCTTATTTGTGGCGTTTGTAGATGAAAATAGCGATTTAGCGGCCCCAAAACTCTTGATTGTGACTATAAGTATTTTTGAAATAGGTCTAAAATTAAATTATAAAAAAGTGCATGCAAGAGCCAAGATGGAGTTAAATATTATTGTTGTGCTGCATTTTTGTCCCTAGAAACACTGATAAAATTTCATTATGGCTGCCGTAATGGAGGGGATTTGATTGGAACAAAAAAATAAAATAAAAATAGGCACAGAAAAGAGGGAGATACATTCAGCATCATAAGGGCAAGGAAGTCATTTTTGTTGTGGTTGCTAAAAAATGGTGTGGCAAAATTACTTGCCTTAGAATAATTCTCGTGTTCTCCCCCTTTTAACTTCAGTCCCAACCTTCTTACCAATTCGATTTCCCTCCTTAAGCTCACCCCGGAAACCCCAACTATCGCCACCTCCTTCTTCAACGATCGCGTTCCTCAACGATCGCGTCTCTGGTCTCCATTCTCAGCCGCCAACTCTTTGGTATGATCCCTTCTTTTATAAGCTTATAACTTTGCATCAATGATGTGGGATTTTCTTTTTTTTTTTTCTCCTTTTGCGGTTGAACTGATTTTTATTTTTAGTTTTTGAATTTGGGGAAAATTTTCTCTGTGTTAAGATATTGCTCCGAAAAGGAGAGAAACAATTAAGGTGGAGACGTTGTTCTTGTTCGGCGGTGCCATATAGCTCCGTGATCATGAAAGATTATATTTTTCTGCTTTGAAACCAGGAATTTGTTCTTTTATATGCCCAAGATTTAGGTTCAATTCGAAATTTGGAAAAGGAAGGTATCGTTTGGGGTTGTCTTTAATTTCGGTTATTGCAACCAGCAAAAGGATTTTGCAAACCTGGGAATTTTCTATTGAATTTGGAATTCGGATAGGATTTTTGACTCGGGGATTATATAGTTAGTTGTCTTTTCTGGAGATGTGAATAGGTCTAGAAACTTGCATTTTCAGTTTAGCATTGTACTGCCATTACTTAGTCTCCTTTTGGATTTACGAACGATCATGGAAAGATTTGGTTCCGTTTTACATTTATAGCATTCAGTATTGAAGCCCATTATATAAGCTAGCAGTCACAATTCCATGTAAAAATGCCCAATAGCAGTACTATTAGATGTCTGATAAAGTGAATATTGAATAGTTCTTAAAATTTCGTGAGATTCTAAATGTTTGTATACAGAATAAATGCACAATTAGGCTTGCTATAGTCTTTTATGCTTTGTGGTACCTTTGTTCTGCATTGTGGCTGGAATATTTTCTCTCGTGTGAGCATCTAGTCATGTCTTGTACCTCCACTTTAGGACCTTCGGGGAATTGAATTGGCTTCCTCGTTCTTGCTGTAGTCGCTTTGACTGAACAATCATTGCATTCACTCTCAAGTCAAAAGATCAATCTCGACTACCCAATGGTAAACGATGTATTAAGTCTCATATAAGGTTATGTGAACCTCCAAAACATTCAGAGGTCCTCTATTCTCAGTCAACTAAAGATCTGCCATGAGTTCCTCTCCTAAAAGAGCCAAGATAGCAAACCTGCAGGAAGATAGACTCAGCTCTCTTCCTGATTGCATCCTATGTCATATTCTCTCCTTCATGTCCACGAAAGATGCGGCGAGAACATCTATTCTGTCTACAACATGGAAGTACCTTTATCTAGGTGTTCAAAATATTGATCTTGAGGAGAACATAGTGGAGGAGGATGAGGAGCCTGGTATTTTACAACCTCAAGGTAGCAGAAACAGGAGTGCGGGTTTTGTTGGCTTTGTGAATAGGAGGCTTATGTTGAATGGAACATCAAACATAACTGATTTTCGATTGAAGTGCAGAGAGTTGCCTGAAGCTTATGTGAGTTTGTGGCTTACTGCTCTACTTTTACGTGCCGTCAAGGTTCTTGAAATTGAAGTGCTAACAGAGCAGGGCAACGCTCAGTCTCAATGCCCACCTACGGGATTTTTTCGGTCGCAAACTTTGGTGGTCTTGAAATTATGTGGACCAAACATTGTCTTCAAGATTCCTGAATTTGTCTGCCTTCCAAGTCTCAAGGTACTCCACTTAAAATATTTGGATATGCAGTTTGAATCTGACAAGGGTATATTAGCTGAAGGCAGTCCCCTGCTTGAGGATTTGAGGTTGGATCGAATCAGGCTCCCAAAGAAGCAGTGGTCGATTGCTCGGCCATCAATAGTTGCATCTATTCTCAGAATAGCCCTTCCCAAGTTGAAAAGGCTGGAATTCATCATGCCTAGGGAGGATAATAGAGTATACGATCTATATCTTTATGCCCCACATCTTCAACATCTGGAGTGTAGCTTAACAGAAGAGTATAATCCATCCAACATGTTCATAAATTCGTTCAACAGTGAATATCTGATATCAGCAAAAGTCTCTCCCTCTGGAAATCGAGTAGCTTTTACTGGATGGCAACAAGTTTTTGTTAGAGCTTTAGCTAAGTTCGGCACACTCAAAGAGCTTCATGTATCAAAGAGGTTTTTAGAGGTATATTTCAGCCCATGTTGTATTATGCAGATCTTTTTTGCAGTCCACTGTTCCTGGCCAACTGTTATTTATTCACTTTCCATTGATTGTATAGTTTTTCGGCAGGACCCCAAGTCACGAATCACTCTGGATTCTTCTTGAACGTTCTCCAAGTCTAGAAGTGCTTGACACTGTATGCTTATTTTTGCTGAAGTAATTGGCTCCAGTATATCAGAATGTTGTTGTCGAGTTTAAAAAGTTGTTACCTCCCATATATTTCCGCCCTTATTGTGTTTCCTTTTCTTGCGCAGGCTGATACAGGTACTTGCTCCCCTCCAGAGAATGAGCCGCCATCGTGCTTGGTTCAATGTCTTAAAGAAATCAGAATAAGAAAGTTTGAAGGGAATAAAGATGAGTTTTCAGCAGTGCAATACTTTCTACAACATGGAGCAGTTCTAGAAAGGATGATAATACAGCGTTCAAGTTATCAAATTAAGGAATGGCCTGAGGTGGTGTTGAGGCGGCTACTGATGCTGGCACGGCGTTCATCAAAATGTCAAATTGAGCTCAATTGAAGTTAAGCTTTGTCCAATCTCTTTCAATCAAGTTGGAGGAGAGGCAGCATTCAACTGGCGCTAGGTAGGCTTTCTTTAGATCACAATCAGTCAGCGGGAACTATGGTGCTTGCATCTTTTGATTTTAGTCATACTAGTTTTTTTTTTTTTTTTTTTTTTTAACAAAGAATGATGGCTGAAATGTTGCATATCATATCTAACCGAGAATGTAGGCTTTTACTTATGACCTTTAATTTTGGTCAAAATCTTGGAATAATCTTTGTTACTCAAAATCAATATTGCATAGCTTAAAATTTCAATCTGTTATAGTAACACCATTCGTTGTAAATTTTCATTGACTTGTTCATTGTATATATATATTTATTACCATGTTAGTTATAAATATGACTAAAGATGTTGTCAAACGGAAAGCCAAGCCAAACTTACTTTAAATGAAGTATTCAGCCTGCCTCAAAACGTTGGGTACTTTCTTTGGATCATCGGTCAACAGCATGTTAGGCATTAGATAGCATGCAGGAACTGATACGAATTTTCCTATTATTCAAGAAATTGACCTAGTTCTAGGCATAGGTAGAGTCCACGATGAAGATTGTTAAATACAACGATTGTATTTTCGTTTTGGTTGTAGACATAAATGTTGGTTTGAAAGATGAATGTTTTAGATGGAAATGGTCGCTTCTTAATTTGTAGATTGTTAGAAGTACGTTTACTTGGGCCACGAGTATCTCTACATTGAAGAAATTGCTACGGCCGCATTACCAAGAGATCCTGTACGATGAAATCTGAGCTTAATAGGGAGGAACGCGAAAAGGGAAATACTTTCGATAAACAGAATTATGAATCCGTGGATGATATTAACATAAAAGGATCAAATAGAGCAATAAGATTATGAATTTCGTTAGTCACAGGATTGTTCTGTTTTACAAATGTGCCAACGCTGGTTTTGATCCTAGTTTTCCAAATTTGCCAGCATAATAATAGCTGGAAGGATGAAATCTTTTTTAAAAGAAACAAAATCTCTTTAAAAAAAAATTTGTAGAACCTTATATAAATCGTTTTATTTTATTTTATAATGATCTTCTCACTTAAACTAAAACGGGATAACGAAGTTAAATTTATATCGAAAGAGTAGATTTTTAGTTATACCTGCTACTAGGGGTGTGACGTCCCAACCAGAACACCTATCCAATACGGTGGCCCAGTCGGATGTCTGTCCAGCTCACGCCAGGACTCAAAACAATCTATCATTTTGCAAAGAAAATTTGCTGCACAAGTGTTGTCAGAAAACCTAATTTTGTTATTTGCCAAATTACTAAACAATAGAAAGAGTAAACCTCAAAACAAGTCATTAAATTATTAGATAATTCTAATATAAGTCATCAATTAAATTTATTTGTATAACAGGTCACCCTACTAAGCAAAAAATTCATCCGAGATCATTCTGTTAATTTTGGTCGTTAAATAGTGACGGAAATCTATTTTTTGCATTCTTTTGGATTCAGGGGTATTTTTGTCATTTTATTATTTTTTAATTTTTAATTTTTTATTTTTTTAAATTTTTTTCAATTCTTTTTCTTATACTTCCTAAGTTGTATATACTAACGGTATAATTTCTAAATTTCAAAAATTAATTTAAAATTTTGAATTTTAATTTTTAGATTATAAAATTTTTAAAAAAATTTAAGAAATGAAGAAGAAAAATTCAAGTTAAAGTAAATATGAAAATTAATAGTTTACCATTTTAAAGTAAAAGAAAAACTAAAAGAATTATCTAACACAAGTTGTTTCTTTTAGGTTATTTAATTTTTTTCAACTCTATTGAATTATTTAATTATTAATTTTCACGTTAAATTTAATTTGAAAGCTATTTTGAAAACAACTTCTGTCACGATTTAACGTTCAAAATAGCTTTCAGCTAAGAGAAGTTGTTTCCTCTATGTTATTTTGGGTGTTAAAAATAAATATTTTTTAAAAATAAATATTTTTTAAAAGATCATATAATATATTTTTATAGTTACGAGAAATAGTAAAAAGAAATAGAAAACATAAAAAATTAACTAAAAAGTGAAAAGACTGTTTGGTTATTTTTACAAATTTTTGGGATTATTTTTATAATTTTTAAAACTATTAGGGTGTTTTTGTAAATAAAACTAACAGAATTTCGTTAATTTAAACGGAAATTGCAAATTGGAAAAAATCGGATAACGGTTAGATAGTTTAGTGTAATATTGGTTAACCCAAAAAAAAAAAAGTAGAATTGATAACGCATGCAACCTTTGGATAGATCGGCCAATTTTTCCGGCTAAGTACGTACTTGCTTCTCCAAAATGGTTATTTTCAGCAAAAATGGATCCGACCAAGTTCCCTTAACAGATCCAGCTGTCAGAAATTTAATCCTAAAATCGGTGAAATTGAATGTTGGCAAACATATTGAATCAGACATTTCAAAACGGAGGTTTAGCGCGTAAATGCCATTGATTGTAACTTAAAGTTGATGATTTTTTTCCCCTTTCCAAATTTCCCATATATAATATACTATACTAGATGCGAGCCAATGTTCGGGATACCTGTGTCTTAAAATTATTAAATAAAAAAATTATAAATAAAAAAATATGTGTTAGAGATACTAGATGCGAGCCAATGTTCGGGATACCTGTGTCTTAAAATTATTAAATAAAAAAATTATAAGTGAAAAAGTATATGTTAGAGTAATAATATGTAAAATATAATGTTATAACAAAGATCACAATAACGTAGAATTTTATACTTGTAAATAAATAACAATTCTAATCGTATAAAAAATCTTTTGTTTTTTACTCGCAGGTCATGCCTGTTGGCTAATAACAAAATTGCAACACTATTGAGATAATATCTCTTGAACTAACAAATAAACATTTGGTGGTAGAATCATTGGATACAGTCTTCTGATTGCCATAATGGAGAATTGATCATCTTTTGTTCCCTCGGTATTGATTTCCCGTGATAGCATTATGGAATTTTTTTGATGTTCCTGTTGCTAGGTTTTAAGTCAAATTTCAAGGATTGATGTCTTCTTGATTGAGTCAATTGTTTACAATCTCCTGATTGCCATAATGGAGAGCTGATCATCTTTTGCTTCCTCAGTATTGATTTCCCGTGATAGCATTAGGGAATTTTCTTGATGTTCTCATTACTAGGTTTTATGTCAAATTTTAAGGATTAATGTCTTCTTGATTGAGCCAATTGTCTGCTGGAGCAAAAATATTAAAGGGACTGCCTTCTTTTTTATTGAGCCGATTGTGTTGTTTTCAAAAAAAAAAAAAAAAAGAAAGCCAATTGTATTATATTGATCAAAATTACTAGATTGAGGTATTATATATTTGATTAAACCAATTGCATGTTAGAACCAATTTTCATTTAACCATTTTGTATTTACAGAGGTTGGGGAGGCGTTACTCATAGTAATTTTTATGTGATTTACGGGGATTTTTTTACATTATATTTTATCAACTCAAGTTTTCTATTTTCAAGAATTAGTATATAGCTATAATTAAGGAATTAGTATAGAACTATATATTAAGGAATTTATATATATATTTATTTCATCTTTTTTTTTTGAATAGTTAGAGTGCAAAAATGATTTTGTACTGAAAATGAATTTTGACGGGAAAATTTTTGTTATGGTGCTGACACATCAGCAATTTGTATGCTGCTTTAATTAAGTACTATAGATAAACAAAAACATTGAGATATAAACAGGACTCTTATTGAAAATCCTATTTTATCAAACAAACAGGGTTAAAAATAGGACTCTTCTACAAACCGTGGCTGGAACACGACGTGGTCGGTGTTTCCTCCAATCATAAAGTGTTAATTTCATAGACTTATACCTCCTTTTTTTAACCAAAAAAATAGGACTCTTCTTGAACATTCCACAGGTTGATTGTCTACAATCAATATTTAAAGTTTATTAGTAATTAATAATTTGTCTCAAGGAAAAATGAAAAGTTTCCTCCAACGTTGAGCCTCTCAAAACTATATTTCCCCAACGTTTGAAAAATTGTCGATTCCCCCAAAACTGAAAACTCTATCCAATTTTCCTCGTTTTGTCTCATTAACAGCATAATTTTTTTGTTAAAAAGCAATTAACTGAACCTAATAACTGACATTAAATTGATTTATTCATTATATATTTGTTTTCTCAATTAAAATTAATATTTTTATTAGGAAAACCAAATAAATCCCCATTCTCTTCCATTCTAAAATAATATACTTTACAATACTAATTTAGTTCCAAAATATTTAATAATACTTTTTTTTCCTGGGATCAAAAGAGTAACGGAGGTACATTTTTAACCATTATTACAAAGTTTTGTCATGTGGGAGGGTGGTGTGTTGGGGGACTTGGGGTCAGAGTGCTCAATAAATTGTATATTAAGCACAATTGTACTGGAATTAATGAACACATGTATTAAACAAGCAAATGTCAGAAGAATTAGCTGGATTTTTGAGGGCAGAGAGTAGATTAGATTTAATATGGCATGGATGTTTCGGAAACCAACGGATCCGGAAATGTACAGAGTTGAGCACATCTTCCTGAGGAAAAACAACTGTATAACATATGCTTGAAGTAGCCGCTAGCTGCTTTCAAATCTAACGTCCATGACCCATAATAACATGCCACAAAACCTGACACTTTTATTGGATACATCTTGCTCAACCCACATGCCCTTCCCTACTCCTCCCATGCAGAGACCGAGCTTGGAATTAATATCATTATGACGATAATTTATGAACACAAGTGTGAAAATAATACCCAATGTGAAGTACTTCATCTATCTCGGAAAATATAGTTCACATTGAGTTTTCGAATTTGTACTAAACTAGTACGATTCTCAGAACTTAATATAGTGCCAAAAATTAAAAAGTTATCTATTTGAAATGTGAATTATATTTCTGGGGTAGGGAATTTTTTTTTTGTATATATATATATATATATATATTTACAGGATGTTCAATGTCTACCACAGTGATTAATCCTTTGCAGAATTATATGCGCACATTTTACCACGTACATTATTGGAATTGAGTAAGTATGCATGATAACTACACACGAGGAACGAGCAAATTTGCATGACCACACCAAACCTAATCACGTTGAACGAAGAATGAAGCAAATTTCTCAAAATACGACTAATCACATGGAAATTTAATGCAGCAAATGGAATAAAACGAATTATGCATAATCACATGGTAATTAGTCACATAATGAGCAACTCAATGATTGAACCCTTATTAGATACTCAAATATTTTGTCTCTGTTTAATTATTCCATAATTTATTTATTTTCTTAAAAAAAAAATTGAGAATGAAGAAAAAATGTATTGGAATGTTGAAAACAGTGTAAAAATCAGGTGATCAAAGAAACTTATTATGAGGATTGGAAAATTGAGTTGATAAAAGTCAAAAGAGTTTTATTATGAGATTCGAAGATTGAGTTGACGCATGCTAATTACCAGTAACCAGAAAGCGAATTTGCGATTGATTATATAAGGAATGGCTTTGTAAGTGCCTTAGAGGCAATGAAACCAGTTGATTTTCAAAGATTAAAAGATCCTTCTAAATAGCGGCTGATATGTTTATTTTATCGGTTACCTTTCACCCACGATTTGTTAATTTTGTGATTGGCGAGGGCCTTTTTTAAACTAAAAGAAAAGGTGCAAAAAATTTTCAAAGTTGATGGAATTAACTAAATCATTCGTCAATTCGCGATTAAGTGACTAATACTAGAATTTGTAGAATTATGTTTTAGAGTTATAGGATTCCCATTTTCTTCTCACGTTGCTAATGCACGGACGGAGAAAATCTAATATACAGTAGCTGTCCTCACCTTTTTATTGCAACTAATCAATAAGGATTAATATTTGATTTTTTCGGCCCCCATAAATTTTTCCTTCTCTCCCGTAAAAATATTACTTTTCCCGTATTTATATATAGAATGTAGAGATGACGTAGGAGAAGCCAAAAAAAATACTAGCTTTGGTTTTTATTATAAAATATTTTGATTTGTCCTAAATTTTATTTAATATAAAAAAAGAGTAAAAAGTTAAGGATAACATATTCAGATTTTGAAAAACTTTCAACTCGTATAAATTGAGTAGAAAACAGCAAAGTGAAGGATAAGAAGAAAATGATAGACAAATATCCTTTAATTATGGTCACGTAACATTATCCTTGAATTATGGCCAGTATGAATCGTTAACCTGTTATTCAAGCACAGTTATAAGTCATTAGTGAAGACCCTAACTTCTGGGAATGAAATTTCAACAAACAAAAATACCGAACACGTGAAAAGTATTATATCCCCCAAAATTTGACCAATGTAATTCCTTCCGAAAACCTTTTAAATAAAAGAAAATTTTCGTTCCAGTTTCAAATAAATAACTTTTTCTTCTTTTTTTTTAAGATGTTCCGTTTGTTTCGAAAATCCTTAAGTTTTTTTTTTTTTTTTGAAAATGAAAATCCTAAAGTTAATGGCTCCAAATAAGTATTATTATGGAGGCCGATGAATTGTTCTTAGTCCCTTGGTCTCATGATAAGAGTCGTTTAATTTAATTTCTTTTTAGGAAAATCCACATAATGTACACAATTTGACAAAACACTACGTAATTGAATACCAAAAAAAAATAAAAAATAAAACATAGTTTTATTTTTACATGCCAGATAAGTGTTATCGATAATGTTAAGTACGAATTAAGCACCATACTCTTTTTTTTTTTTCTTTCTTTCTTTTTGACGGAAATGAGTAAATTATATTAAAGGGCAACAATTACAGTATAAACATATGTTTATAACTTTCCCTAGATTTTACTCTTATTACCACATTCAATCATTCGTATCTCGTAGTTCATACATAGTTCCCTCCGTCTCTACGTATACACAGTTCCCAAAACTCCCTGAATACAGGACAGAAGCTTTTGGCTTTCCACTTCACTTTGGTTTCAGTCTGTCAAATGAAAACAAATCCCACTATATAAATCCACTTAATTTACTCATTAGTCCAATCACTTTTTTTTCTGGCTTTCTGAACTGTTTCCCCATCGGAAAAAAATCTACGAAAAGTATCTCTCTTTTTCCTCCGATTTCAGCTACCATTTTCCTCCCACAAGCAATTCCAAGTCCAGTTGTTAACTTCATTCTCAAATCCCTGTTCAGACTTTAAGACCCACCTCAATCAGTGTATATATAGATAGTTCCTTCTTTTTTTTTTGTTCTTTTGCTTGAATTTGTAGCAAAAAAGTTGTAGCAAGACTCTGTTTTTCTCTTCTGCACTTTTTTAATGGCGGCAGCTGAACAGAGCATAACGATCCATGAACCATTAGTCGGAAACAGCAATAACAACAACAATCACTACCCGTATTCAGATGGGCCGAACGACGCCGTTCTGAAGAAGCACTTGGCGAAATTAGAGACTTTTCTGAGGATTTTTGGCTTCTGCCAGTACTCTTTCTTCAGTGGTCTTCTCTCATGGCTGGCTTACTTGGTGATTGCGATATTGTTGCCTCTTTGGACCCTTTATTACGCTTATTGTTCCAACTGCGAGCAGTACCAGATCAGGACTTTTGAGCTTCAGATTTTCGCATCTCAAGCTCTGGTGGCTGGGATCTCGTTGCTCTGTATTTCTCATAATCTGAGGAAACATGGTATTAGGAAGCTCCTGTTTGTCGATCGTTATCATGGCATGGCTCAGTTTACGCCCCAGTATTTAGAGAAATTCAAAGTAAGCCAACTTCTGGATTATTTTCTTCTCTCTGTTTTTTTTTCCCCTCTTAAGTTTGATATTATTTTAGAAACATTTCCTGTTCTTTTGTTCATGTTTTTCCTTTTTGGGGGTTTTTATATGAGTTGGGTTTTGGGTTTTGAGTTTTGATTGGGTTTTCCTCGTTCAGTTAGTTTCTATTTTTGGAGGCAGCAGCTCGAAATAGGATTAAAAATGAAATTTCTTGGTCGATTCTATAACAGTTCAAATAGTATTTTGACTCCTTATAGGAGTTTTCTCTTTTCTTTTCATAAGCTGTTGGTCGGTTTATTCTTCTTAATTACTGATTTGATGTTGCTCCGATCTGTTAAGAATTGGTCTTGCGCTTTGTCCCGGCGGCCGGTGGCTGTTAGGTGAATTTTCCCTCTAGAAAGCGACTTGGAACCGTTTAATTACGAGTTTTTTTTTTTTTAATGTGGGGTGAGGAAAATACTTTCTGGAAAATGCCATGGTTTTCAAATTAAAAATCACAATTTTTTGTCGCTTTTAGCGATTTTGTCAAAGTTTGATCTGTTTTATCTTCCTCGTGTGCCAATGCTTTGGTCATCTTGTGCTGTTCATCAGAAAACACGTTCTGGGCCCCTTTTTTCCTTTCAAAGGATTTTTTTTTTCTCTATTTTACCCCCATTCTATCTTGATGTTATAATCAGGAAGTTAACTTCAACATTTGGATGAAAAACTAAAATCAAAGTAAAAGCTTGTTTTAGTACACCATTTCTCTGTTCTTAAATAGCATCAGTTTTAGGATAAGAGTATTTTTTTGAAGGTGACATTACTGTGTAATTATTTTCTCGTTAACTTGTGATCAACCAGACAACCATTAGTTTTCTCAAAATACTTCGAGGAATCAACTACTCAACCTCATAGTTTTGCTGATTGTTCCTCTACGTTTATGGCCATGAAGTGAAGGAATTTCTCTTGTTCAGTTGCACACTGAAATGAACTCAGTTTCTTTTTGCTTTGGGGTTTCTCCAAAAAATGAAAACAAGAACAATTTTGGTGCTTAAGATTCACTTTTGTGTAGTGTGCCATTACTAATCAACTAAAGGGATAATGTGATGTGACTTGACAACATAGTATTGGTTTGAAGGATCCCTGAAGCAAAATGGGATTCCAGCGGTTAAGCCCTTTGTTCTATTGAAATAATTTCTGGATGTAGTGAAGATATGAGGTTTGAAAATCATAAGATTCTTGTACCAGTATGTTTTGTACTTTAGGAGTAATATTTTTTTGTCCTTTCTGAATTTTCTGAAATAATAGTCTTGGTTGGATCAGTAATTCCTACTCTTGGCTCTTGATTATAGTAGAATAGAAGAAGTTTAAAATTGTGAAATCAAAGCAACATAAAGTTTTTGTCAACCTCATTGAATTTTTAGTTAAATGTCGTTTTTAGGAGAAAAACTCTGCATCTTGATGCTAACTTTCTTTTACTTTATGTTAGCAATGATAGTCAAACCTTTTGAACTATGAGAGACCACATATTAGTCATTCCATTAGTTGCATCATGACTGGAGCGTATTTTAATCTAATTCAAAAATAACAAGGTGCTAATGCGTTAACATTTGGGCAAGAAATGCCTAAAAGCTTCTTTAAAATCGTAGAAAATATGCTAATTAGAAAGTCTGTGGTACCGTTAACTGTGAAACTTTTCTTGGAGTTCTCTGATTTGTTGAAATGGGGTGCATATCAATTCTTTTCAAGGATGGAAAAATTTTATGGATATTGGAACTTTATATTTGGCGTTGATCTATGGTATTTGTTCCATTTCCTTGTATTTATGGTTTTCATTTGTGAACTGTTTTGTGTTTGTGCAATTCTGTTTTGGCCGACCTGTTATGATGACCTAAAAAGAATTTCGTTCTTGTGATTGTTGGGTGCTCAGGGCTTTTACCGGTCACTTGTTACGTGGGTTGTCGTAGGCTTTTTGTTAAAGGCTGCTCGTGAAGTAGTCCGCGCAATATATCTCCATGACGAGCTTTGGTGGTGGTCTGTGGCGGTGCTGGTTGTTTCACTTGTTTCTTGGACATACTCTACTATACTCTTTCTATCAGGCACGGCCCTTTTCAATTTGGTGGGCAATTTACAGATCATACACTTTGAAAACTATGGGAAACTTTTGGAGAGGGATATGGATGTTTCAGTCTACATTGAGGAACACATGCGTCTTACCCACTACTTGTCTAAAATAAGTCACAGATTTCGCATTTTTCTGCTCCTGGAATTCTTGGTTGTCTCTGCGAGTCAATTCGTGGCTCTACTGCAGACTACAGGGAACAAGGGAATAATTAACTTCCTTAATGGCGGTGATTTCCTGGTATGTGTCAATTTTTCATTTACTGCTTTATTTTGCTATAAACTAATTGTCGTTATTAACATAGTAGTATTTGCCGTTACAGAAAGTCATCAAAATAATTACAGTATTTTTATTAATTTCCTTTCTAAAAGATCCTCCTTGAATTATTTATTGCATTTTAGAAATACATCTCTCCATTTTCAAAAAAAAAAAAGAAATACATCTCTAATTTGTTATGTTATGCATTATGTCAGCTGTGTCAGTAATGAAAGACAGGAAGAGGTTATATCAGTTTATTTTGATTTTCTTTTGTCAAATGAGTTGATATTTTTATGATGGAGCAAATGGGTCTAGTTGTTATATAGTGACCTCCGGGTTCTTGCTAATTGATAAGTTTTCTAATAAATTTGAATGTTTTTTACTGGATAGGTATTATCAATTGTCGAGCTCGTCGGCATAGTGCTTTGCCTGAATGCAGCGGCAAAGATTTCACATAGAGCTCAAGCTATTGGCTCAGTTGCCAGCAGATGGCATATGCTAGTTACAGCTAACTCTAGTGACGTTTCCGCTTCCTTTATGTCAAATGGCGGAAACCCGGATCCTCTCAATACAGTTGGTTCATTGACTGTGAACTATTCCGAAAGTGATTTGGAGTCCACTAGTGACTTCATTCCTTTGCCTGCAACTGTGCAACTTACTTCTCAGATGACATCATTCCACAAAAGACAAGCCTTTGGTATGTACCTTTCTTTCCATGCTTGACTTCATTTGTGATTTCGTTTATGTTTGTGGAGCAAATTTTTTATTCTAAATACTCTTAAGATGGCTTGTTGCTCTATTTCATGTGCATCAGAATCAGATGAGTATATATTTAAGGAGATATCTAATAATTATGTTTAACTTTTTTAGAGTATCACTCTTGTATGTGCTGTGGCAGAAATCATGATTTTGTTGATGGCTGAGATTTTCATGTTCCGACTCTGCTTTATACCACCCAATTAACCCTTCGGATGATAACTTTTACAACCCACCCACAACCCCGCCACCCCCACCCCCTCCCCCAACCATGATATGGTGAGAATCAGAGCCTCTGGTTTTTAGAGTTAGCAGAATATCCAGTGCTATTCTAAATCAGTCTCCAAGGCTTCTCCTGCAGATATTAAGTTTGCCATGAATCACTGAGACAGTGAGACTGAAATATTACAGTTGTCCTTACTGCAACTTCCTAATTCATTTTGGACAATCATATTTGCCATGCATCTTTCTAAAGCAGAATGCATTTGATAATATTCCTTTTATTTTTTTTCAACCTGTAGATTCTAACATCATTTTTCTTTCGAAGCTGAATTTTGCTTCAACTTGGAGCCTATCCTTCTATTTTTTTTCAACCTGTAGATTTTTAACATCATTTTTCTTGCGACGCTGTCAACTCAGAGCCTACCTGTTTTCCCTTTAAATTTAGAATATTAATTCAGGAACAGGTATCCTTTTCTAACCTTAAGTTTTAAGCATTTTCCCTTTGTCTATATCACTCTGTTTTAATGTTGAAAAGACAATGGTATCAGGGTTACAGCTTCGTAAATATATTTTACATCTTTGGCTGGAGTGTTATTGGGGCTGAAGAATGCCTACGATTGATACTTGTCTTCCATAGTATATAAACATCCAGCCCCTCAGTTGTTAAGTCTGCAGTTTGAGCTGACAATTGTTTGTTCCCGAAACGAAATTTAAATGAATTTGTGGCAAACTTGATCGTTGATCTTCTTGACGCTACCAAAATTGATTTCAGTAATCAGAAGTGTTTGAAACTTTGAATGATGCTTTGTATGGTTTGATAAAGTAATGTATGTAAATCATATTTCTGACTGGAAAAATTATCCCTTTCTTAGTTCAACTCCTATCCAACTATCCTTTCATATGCTTCTCTTACCCCATGATTTACAGGGATGTGATCTTCGAGCATTGTGACTAACCCTTTTACTTCAAATTGCAGTAACATATGTGCAGTCAAATACTGGCGGATTTAGCATTTTTGGCTGGATAATCGACCGGATGCTCATCAACACTATTTTCTTCATCGAGCTTTCACTTGTCTTCTTCGTACTCGGGAAGACGATTACTTTCACTACCAGATAAAGCGCAAGACTATAAGTTGGTTGATGGATAGCTCACACTGGTTGGTACCCCTTTTTGTTCGATGTGACTTTGTGAGAGCTGTGTACTCTGCTAAGGTAGTAAGTTGTAACAAACGAATTCTGTATCCGGTTGAACATGTTAAAAATGGCATGTTCGACTGTGTAATTTTGGACTGCAAATACTACTCTATGTAGTGGAAGAATATATCCTGATTATTGTTGTATTAATCTAAAATGACCGAATTGATATTATTTTACTTCTCTTTTCGGCTTCCTTCGATTTAGAAGCCACATTTTTTAAGCTTTGGTGGTTATATTTGCAAGATGAACAGCTAAGTGTGACTTCTCTATGAAGCTCAAAGTCTCATTTGCAACTCTCATTCACGTTTTGGATAAGATTCAGCTTGCACTTTGAATATATTAGACTTTTTGCTTTTATCATGTTCGTGGAAATGATAATGTGCTTGTTTGGACGCCATCTTACATTTCATTTTATCACTTAAAAGCAGAAAGTATTTCAAGTTGAAAACTAAATGAGAAATGAAAATGTTGTTTGAATGGTATTTTGAGCAAAATGTTGTTTGGATGTTAGTTTTGAAAAAAATATTTTGAACTATATTTTGAAATATCAAGTACGAATCATTACTAAACAATTAGTACTCCCTCCGTCCCATAATTATTGTCCAGTTTTACTAAAATGAAAGGTTTTATTTTTGGTCAAAGTTAATTATATTTTACTTTAAACAACCGAATATACCCCTACATAAGTAATTGTTTAACTACTAAGATTTTATGGATAATGTTTTTCACTATGGACAAATGTGTAACTTGATCTATAAAAATTCGAATTGGACAATAATTTTGGGACAAAATTTTTTGGGCAAAGTGCACAATAATTATGGGACGGAGGGAGTACACATTTAATTGAAAAAAAAAATTGTTTTTTTGTCCATACAAGAACATACAAGAACATATTTGGCTTCCTTTTTGTAACAAAAAAAAAAAAAAAGTGTTTTGGCTTCCTTTCCGTGATCCACAACTATCCATTAGAATGTTCCAATGACGATTTAATTTTATCTAATTCTTGAATACTTTTTCGAACCTCTTGAAACCAATAACATCAAAATAATCAATGGGCAAAATTGGCTTAGCGGTATAATCACTCTCTGATCATCAACCCGAAAATGACTTCCGCTAAACTGTAACTCTGCCATTTTCATTCTCGCCTAAAACCATTCCAGCGCCACGAATCCCTTTGCACAACTTGTCCCACACTCCAATTCTCATTCTCCACAAAAATCATGGTTACAACATGCTGATCACCGATTGTCTTTATTAATGATCATTTCAACATTCTGTATACATCTGATAATTTGGACATGGATTATATTCCGTTTCGAAATAATTGTTTATTTAGATTCTCATTTTTTTAAAAAAATCGTATTGAAAAATCACAACAATCATTTTTTTTTTTATTTTTTATGTTTTTGGAATAGAAGAGAGTACTTATTTTTGGACATCCCTTATTTGATAAGTATGGCAACTCATATGAAAAATGAATAATGATGACATCAAGGATGAAAACCGATCAGATTTGTCCCAAATCATTTTCGAGTTTTTGGCCACAATATCCTCCTCTTGCACACTTTCCAAAGCTGGGCACAAGGACCAAAATTTTAGCCCATATCCTTAGAACTCCATCACTGCTGCTGCTGCATCATCACCATCATCCTCTTATGGCTTCTTCTGACGTGCATAATTCCATCAATTTTCTAACATTTTGCCACAACCATGACATCCCTCGTAGCTATCCGCTTCCTACACAAATCCCAATCCTTTCTTTCCCATACCATTTATATATATACTGGTGTTTGCTTGTTTCGTCTTCTGCAATTTTTTTACTCATTTTCAGCTCATTGCTTTGAGTGTTTGTGGAAAGGTCTAAGAGAGAAAAATGTTGGGTTTTGGAACTTTCACTCATTCCAATACATCGACTGGAAGAAAGCCTGGAATGGGCTATGATGTGCCGGAAGGAGTTGATATCAGGGGACGATATGATCCCGAGTTTGCTACTGTTCTTACCAAGGAAGCTTTGCAATTTGTTGTTGAATTGCAAAGAGAGTTCAGGAACCATATCAAGTATGCTATGGATTGTAGGAAGGAGGCAAAGGTGAGATATAATAATGGAGCATTGCCTGGGTTTGATCCAGCTACTATGTATATTAGAGATGCTGAATGGGTTTGTGCAGCTGTTCCACCTGCTGTTGCTGATCGGAGGGTTGAGATTACAGGGCCAGTTGAGAGGAAAATGATCATCAATGCTCTCAACTCTGGAGCCAAGGTTTTCATGGTATGTTTTGAAATTCATAATGATGTGCATGCTTTGATTTGCTTGCTGTGAAAGTAATTGTTACTTTAGTTGGTCATAGAATTAGATTTGTATGTTGGGAAGTTATGAGCTATTGAGCTTAGTCTGGTGCATTTGATCAAGTGATGTTTACTTCTGTATCAGGCTGATTTTGAGGATGCACTTTCACCAACTTGGGAGAACCTTATGAGGGGACAAGTTAACCTGAGAGATGCTGTTAATGGAACTATAAGCTTTCAGGACCCAGCTAGAAACAGAGTTTACAAACTTAATGACAGAACAGCCAAGCTTTTCGTACGCCCAAGAGGCTGGCACTTACCCGAGGCTCATATTTTCATTGATGGCGAACCTGCCACTGGTTGCTTAGTTGACTTTGGTCTTTATTTTTTCCACAACTACGCTGCTTTTCGCCAAAAACAAGGCGACGGTTTTGGTCCCTTTTTCTATCTCCCAAAAATGGAACACTCAAGGTAATTGCAAGTGTTTTTTGTCCTTTCATTTTGTTCATGGGTATGAAACTTCTACAAGCAAAGGGATTTTCAAGAATATTTTTGATGGGCATTTAAATTCTTGAAGCTGGGAAATTTATGTATGATTTACATATTGATTGATGTTAGACTTGGCATTAAGCACCATCTTGGTTTTACTATTTTTCAATTCGGTTTCAGTGGTGAACTTAAAATTGACTGGATATTGGGAAAAGTACACTGTTGAAGTATCTTTCAAACATCATGAATAATTCAAAAATCTGATAGGATGTTAATGTGAACAGAGAAGCTAGAATATGGAACAATGTATTTGAGAGGGCAGAGAAAATGGCTGGCATTGAAAGGGGAAGTATCAGAGCTACTGTTCTAATTGAAACACTTCCAGCTGTATTTCAAATGGACGAAATCCTCTATGAGCTTAGAGATCACTCTGTTGGTTTGAACTGTGGAAGGTGGGATTATATATTCAGCTATGTGAAGACATTCCAAGCTCATCCAGATCGGTTACTGCCCGATAGGGTTCAGGTAGGAATGGCTCAGCACTTCATGAGAAGTTACTCTGATCTACTCATCCGGACCTGTCACAGGCGTGGAGTGCATGCAATGGGAGGAATGGTAAGTGAATTGTTCCTTCTTTTGTGGATTTATGGAGACAAGTGAGCAAAATGTTCACTCTTTGACAAGAACTCACAATATCGCTCTGTTTACTCAAACAGGCAGCGCAGATTCCAATTAGAGATGATCCAGCTGCTAATGAGGCAGCCCTTGAGCTGGTGAGGAAGGACAAACTACGAGAGGTCAAGGCTGGACATGATGGAACATGGGCTGCCCACCCTGGACTAATTCCGGCCTGCATGGAAGTCTTCACCAACTACATGGGCAACTCTCCGAACCAAATTGAAACCATGAAGCGTGTAGATGCTGCAACTGTGAGCGAGGAAGACTTGTTACAGATCCCAAGAGGTGTCCGAACCTTGGATGGCCTCCGACTCAATACTCGAGTTGGCATCCAGTATTTAGCCGCGTGGTTAACAGGAACTGGATCGGTCCCTCTTTACAATTTAATGGAGGATGCTGCAACTGCTGAGATTAGCAGAGTCCAAAACTGGCAATGGTTGAAGTATGGAGTTGAATTGAATGGTGATGGACTGGGAGTGAAGGTGACCTTGGATCTCTTCGGAAGAGTTGTTGAAGATGAAATGGCCAGGATTGAAAGAGAAGTTGGGAAGGAAAAATTCAGGAAAGGCATGTACAAAGAGGCTTGTAAGTTGTTCACACAGCAATGCACAGCACCAACTCTGGATGACTTCTTGACACTCAATGCATACAATAACATTGTCATCCATCATCCATCAGGATCTTCCAGGCTCTAATGTGGCTATATTATTCAGCCACGAACTGGAGAGTTCATGGTGTTTCTTCCAAGATTTAATCGTTCCTTCTGTTCTATTTGTCATTGCTTAGTCCTTGGTTCACACTGTTCTGAAAATAAGTGATATTTTTATTTCTTGAAATAATTAAGTAGTTGGATCTATTTGTACTGTTGATGCTAATGATGCTTTCTTCGAGTATGTATTTGCATGTTGACTGCTGTAAATGCAAAATTATGATAATTAATAAAGTACATCCAATGAGTTGGTTTTCTTTTAGGTTTACTCTTCCTTTGCTAGCAACATACACTCGTCGGTTCTTATGATAAAGTAGTTAAATTTCTTATAAATTTCATTTAAAATGTTTTTTAATTGAAAATAAATTTTAAAAATATATTTTCACATTTACTGTATTTTTTAAGTTGTTACAAAATATTTTTAAAATTTTATTTTCAATTGAGAAAAGTATAAAATGCGATAAATAAAACTTATAAAGATGACTTACAATAAAGCTCGGGAGGAATACTATCTTTTTGTCTTACCCTTGGTTTAATACACCAAATAAGAGTAATGAATATTGAACGTTTTACTATAAAAAAAAAATTAATTACATTTACATAAAAAACCTTTTATTTTATGAGTCATGACCCTCAGTTTGGAATAAAATAGTACTCTATTCATTCTTCATTACAAGTCATTTTGTTTTGTCCTAAATTTCAATTGAATATATTTTTCCAATCGAAAATAAAATCTCAAACTCCACCGGAGGAAAGAAACTGGAGGGAGTATAACAAATTTCGATTAGAATAACTAAAAGAAAAAAAAAAACAAAAACAAAAAACTAATTTGAATCATAACCACCACTAGATGTTTCTTTTATATCCTTTGCTTGGGCAACAACGTCCACTCATCCCAATCTCTCGAATTCAATTCTCTTCTTCAAAATTCATATTCAATTGCTCCCAAAACCGAATCTGAAAGAAATACCACATCTTTCTGTATCAGCCTAAATCAATGGCACTCGAAGTAACATTTGTAGTCGTAAAACAATCATCAAAAATGTTGTCCGCCTCCACCCTTAACCCCACTATAAAACACCAATCCACCCGGCCGGTGTTAATCCGTCTACCATCATATCATCCCAGCCGGTGGCGGTGGCGGCCAAAGCCGAAGCCGAAGCAGAAGCAGAAGCAGAGTCACCTGGCTGTCCTCTGCTCCTCCACAATTCCGGCCACTCCGATATCGGAGGAGGAACAAAATGCCATAAAGTTGGAGCTGAATGACATAAAAAGTATCTGCAAAAGCTGGACTTGGAGAGGCTACAATATCAACTACTTGATTTACTCCGGCGGCAACGACAACCGGACGTCGCCGTCGCCGTCTCCGCCGCCGCCGCCTGTCCTGCTGGTTCATGGGTTCGGAGCCTCCGTAGCTCACTGGCGCTACAACATACCCGCCATTGCTCAAACCGGTTGCCCTGTTTACGCCGTCGACCTCCTTGGTTTCGGAGCTTCTGATAAGCCCATAGGATTTCCATACACCATGGAAGCCTGGAGCGAGTTAATTCTTGATTTCATTAACGAAATCATCCAAAAACCAACGATTCTCGTCGGAAACTCGGTCGGAAGCCTGGCCTGTGTTATTGCCGCGGCTAATTCTTCATCATCGGTTCGAGGGCTGGTTTTATTGAACTGTGCCGGCGGGATGAACAACAAGGCCATTGTTGACGACTGGAGAATTAAGCTAGTTTTGCCTCTGTTATGGTTAATTGATTTCTTACTGAAGCAAAAATCGATTGCCAATTTCATATTCAACAAAGCCAAGGACAAGGAGAACATCATGAACGTTTTGAGATCGGTGTATGGGAATAAGGCGGCGGTGGATGATGAATTGGTGGAGATAATTAGGGTACCCGCGGAGGATGATGGGGCGCTGGACGCTTTCGTTTCGATCGTGACGGGTCCGCCCGGCCCGAACCCGGTGAAATTGATACCGACTCTGAAGGAGAAGAATTTGCCGGTGTTGGTTTTGTGGGGCGATGAAGATCCGTTCACCCCGATCGACGGACCCGTGGGTAAGTATTTCACGGCGGTGGCCGGAGAGTTTGCGAATGTAGAGCTGTTTGTTTTGAACGGGGTTGGACATTGTCCGCATGACGATCGGCCGGAGTTGGTACATGAACGCCTCCTCCCCTGGCTCGCCTCCTTTCCGACTTTCACAACAACCACTAGCTAGTTGCCAAACATGCAACACTGTGGTGATTGTATATCCGAATTGTATAAAATCATTCTCACATTTTACATTTACTTCGCTACTCTAACATTTTTATATTGTTTGTTTTAAAATAGACAAATATTTTAAGACGAAAAGTAACGAATTTGTTAATTCAACCATGGCATATCATTTCGTATTAGAGGCAAAATGGAAATATATGTAGGGAGAGGGGGATGAAGAAATTGAGACCAACTAAACTATTGATGAAGTTAAAAGTAAATATTTATGTATGGAATCGGACTCCATCAATATATTTAACTGTATCCTATGTGACATAAGAACATTCCCAATGTAACCTCAAACAGCAAATTGCTGCTTAGTTTTGCTAAAAATAGGCTCCAATGGGAGCAGCAAATTGGTGTTGGAGCTACAGTAACGCGTCAAATTTGCCGAATAACTATAGCAGCAGCAAATCGCAGACCCCATCATCTTTTTTGTTTTTTGTTACTTTTGAAATTATTTATAGGTCCCTCTAGTTATGTTTTACTATAATTTTATTTATGTAAATCTTTCAGAAATTTGTCACATATGTGATATTTTTGTAAAATTAATTATGAGTTAAATATTTCCCAAAATAATAATTATTTAATATAATTAATTTAATAAGGTTATTTTGTAAATAGGTAAAAGATGATAGTAAAAAAGAATATGTTGAGAATATTGTGGCTTTGTAAATAATAATGTTGTGGATTGGAGATGAGAACACTGTATCAGCAAATTTAGTGTTTGGTAGGAATAGAGCGCATTGTTTGGCAGGAATGAAGTCTGATTCTTTGGAATTTCAAAAATTTGTATTACTGTCACATGCGGTTAAACTGTAGTTAACACATAATATTGTGGGTGTAGCATACCCACGTAATAAAAAATGTGCATTCTCTGTCGAGTAATGTACTAGATGATTATGCTTCCTCTTTTTTTGTAAAAAAAAAAACAAACAAAAATGTGCATTCTCTGTCGTGTAATTTTTTCTCTTGATTGTTTTCCAAAGAAAGCGTGTAAAAACCTTTTCATTTTGTTGGACCGATTTTAGCAAATCTGGTCCACATGGGAGTGGCCCGATCGTAGCAATAATAGAGGAAATAAAATTGGTTAAAGCCCGCCGTATTGTCGTTGAGAAAGAATAGCGGACAACCATTCGAATTTAAAAAGGAGTTGTCAACTCCACAGTCCTTGTCGGAGAAGGACTTCGACCGCAACATAAGTCCTTATTGAGTTCAACTTCGGTTGCATTTCAACTAGAGTTGGCGAATCACCTATAAAAGCTGTAAAGGAGAGACGACAAAAACAACACAATTTATGACACGACAAATCATATTCTTAGATTCTTTATAGTTTTTATCATTTATTTTCTTTCAAGCTTTCATGTATTCTTTCAGTTTTTAGTCTTGATCTTTGTAAACAGTTGGACATTTCAGGCTATTCATAGCCGATTCGTTTCTCATAAGCTCAATAAAACCGTCCTTGATCGGCCGTTTTGTTCATCTTTCGAAATCATTAGTTATTTCGTCATCAAAAGCTTGAATTCTCAGTTTTGTTACAAATCAAAGGCGTTGACATCCTTAAGCAATTTTGACGGTTGGACTCCGGATTTCAAGAATATCAGACAGTCGTTTGAAATTATTTTGAGCCGAATCGATCCTTACTTTCAAATACAATTTTGACTCAAACATATTTCAGTGCCAAAAGCGAGAATATGAATTAGTTCAGTTACTATTAATTCCACCTAAATCCTTGTACCATAAAAAAAGAAAAAAAAATCCTCCTAAAATCCACCATCTCTGTAATTACACTGGAGAATTTTTTATTTTTTATTTTTTATCTATAACACTTATCATTTTTTTATTGTTGGAAACATAAACATCTATTAAAATTATTTTAATATTAATCAGTCCTAATTGGCACAAAAAATTTGACAGCATCCACTAGTCATAACATCCAATACACACGAGAATTAATAACAAAAACAACACTATTTATCGAATCATGCAATCCAAAACAAACTAAAAAAATGATAAATCTAACTTATTAGCGACCAAATTTCTGAGATATTGAAGTCATTACTCTAACTGAAGCCACAATGGCAACAACCAAATCACCAAAGGATTCTTGTTGGATCTATAACTCTTTCAATGTCAACGGGTCGGGTAGCAAGCAACCATGAATTCTAATAATTCCAAGTTATTCATATCTTGGAAATCTCCTTCCTTTTGCATAAGCATGCAAATGACGACTTCACACTTCTCAATGGATAGTGTGTGATAAAAACTACATTACTTTGCTTACAAATGTACAGACTTCCAGTTTTATTGTGTCTAGAGGAATTGGTTGAATCATAGACTAGGGTTTATGAAAGTCGAAGACGGAAAAGAGAGAATCCAATTTGGGGAATTTTGTATATTCTGTATTTCTGTTAAAATTGTTCTTTGTACAGTATGATATCATGCATATATACAGCACTCCCTAAGCTACAATCATCAACCAATTAATGTGTCTTAAGCTATCATGTACAATGTCATCTATACCCTTCACTTAAGTTACTTTCTATAGAAAATGTAAGGGCAAATTTGTCCATGAACCTAACTGCTAACTAAGTCAAAACAGTAGATTATATACAGGAAGAATCATCTTCTGTTGATCTGATTCTTCAACTTGGATCAATCTGAAAACTCTCTTTATCCCCACCACAAGCTGAAAAGGGAAGAATTTTCTTCACTCCAAGCTTGGACAGTAGAGTAGTGAACTAAGGAAAGGCCAAAGACTTGGTAAAAATATCAGCAATCTGATCATGAGTGGAAAAAAACAAAGGCACCAGAAATCCTTTTTGGTATTGTTCCCGAATAAAATGACAGTCGATGTCAAGATGTTTGGTCCTCTCATGAAATACTGCATTCTCTGTGATATCTATGGCAGCCTTATTATCACACCACAAAGGTATAAGGAGAGGTAAAGTGACCTGGAAATCAGACAAAAGATAGGAAATTCACAAAAGTTCTTTGCTGATGATACTAAGACTTCTGTACTCTGCCTCTACAGAAGAACAAGAGATTATAGATTGCTGTTTAGACTTCCAAGAGACCATAACAGATCCTAAAAACACACAGTATCGAGTGAGAGAACGCTATGCACAGGATTGGTTCCCCAGTCTGAATCAGCATATGCCTCCAACTTAAAATCTAAGCTGGAAGGATAGAAAAGACCAGTGCTTGCAGTTTCTTTAAGATATTTCAGAGTATGAATGAGTGCTGTTCAATGACCTTCACAAGGAGCATGCACATGTTTGCTAAGTTGCTGCACAGCAAATGAAAGATCAAGCCTGGTAAAATTCAAATAAAGAAGTTTTCCAACAAATTTCCTGTAAAGAGAAACATCTTGAATGGCTGCTCCACAATCCTCTCCAAATTGATGATCCTTTTGGAGTGGAGTTGTTGTAGGTTTACAACCTGATAATCCCGTGTCTTGAATAATATCTAGAATATACTTCCTTTGACTGAGGTACATTCCCTCTGATGATCTAGCCAATTCAATTCCTAAAAAATATTTCCCAAGGTCTTTAATGGTAAATACCTTGTGTAAGAACTTCCTTACAGCTATTATAGCATCTTCATCTGATCCTGTAATCAGAATGTCATCCACATATACTATAAGTGCCATAAACTGAGATCCATTGCTTAGAATGAACAAACAAGGATCATGCTTATACTGAACAAAACCATATTTCTGCAACTGAGAGGTAAACTCTGTATTCCACTGTCTGGAAGCTTGTTTTAAACCATATAAGGATTTGATGAGTCTACAGACCTGTCCTGGTTTGGCTAGCGTATAACCTTCTGGTGGCAACATGTAAACTTCCTCTTCTAAGCTGCCATGTAGGAAAGCATTGTTGATATCTAGTTGGTGCAGTGGTCGACTGTTTGCAGAAGCTAGAGCTAACAGAATCATGACTGTTACAATCTTAGTAATAGGAGAAAAACTGTCATAAAAGTCCTCACCTTCAACCTGATTATACCCCTTAGCTACCAACCTAGCTTTATATCTTTCAATGGTTCCATCTGAGTGATATTTCACTTTATACACCCATTTAGAACCTATAGCTCTTTTCCTGGAGGTAATGAAGTTAACTCCCATGTATGATTTTTTTCTAAAGCATTCAATTCATTTTTCATTGCTGCTACCCATTCTGGACAAGTTCTGGCTTGAAGGTAAGTTTTTGGTTCTGAAATGCTGTCAATTTGGGCTAAAAAGGTTAAATGATGAGAAGAAAAGACTGGTTGATAACTGTAAGTGGCATGATGTGTTGAATTCAATGAATCAGTACTATCAGCTGACTGAGAAGAAGGTGGTTTTCTTTTGATATGTTGTGATACATAATCTTTCATCCATACTGGATCTTTGAAAATTCTGGTACTCTTTCTAACAGGAAGAACATGATCTTGAACAGATTGAGAATCAGCTTCTGGATGAGAATCACTTGGATCAGGAGATGAAATTGGTGAAATGCTCATATCATTTTGTTGATCTTCATGATCAGAAGTAATTTCAAGGTGAGAGACAGGTGCATTATATGAATCAAATGTAAGGGATGGCCAAGTTTCATCTAGAAAGAAATTCTGGTTTGGCGGAGGAGGATTTTTGGATGTGTTTGTCTTGTAAGGAAAAACAGACTCATGGAAAATCACATCTCTAGATATGATTACCTTTTTATCAATAGGATCAAAAAGTTTGTATGCCTTTTGACCATGTGGATATCCAATGAAAATGGTTCTAGTGGCTCAAGGTTCAAATTTTGTTTTGTGAGGAATTGTATTGGTGGCAAGACATAGGCAACCAAAAACTCTTAAGGACTGATAATCAGGTGACTTAGAGAATAACAGTTCATAAGGTGTCTTTTCTTCAAGAACTGGAGATGGTAGCCTGTTTATGAGGTATGTCGCAGTTAAAATGGTACCCCCCCAGAAGATTTTAGGCAACCCTGATTGAAAAAGTAGTGCCCTTGCTACTTGAAGAAAATGTTTGTGTTCCTCTCCACAACACCTTTCTGTTGTGGAGTATATACACATGATTTTTTATGGATGATACCTAAGTCTGAGAATAAATCCTTACAATCTTGGCTTAGAAACTCTAACCCATTTTCAGTTCTTATGGTCTTCAAGGATTTTTGAAACTGGTTCTGAATGAGTTTGATGAAAGCTTTGATCTGAGAGAAAGTTTGGACTTGTCTCTCATGAGAAACGTCCATGTTGCTCTTCTATAATCATCCACTATGGTCAGAAAATAGTGAGCTCCACAAAGAGGTTTTTGGCTATATGGTCCCATATGTCTATATGAACTAGTTCAAAATTTTCATTTGTATGAATGACACTGGTTGGAAATGAAAGCCTATGTTGTTTTGCCAAAGGACAAACTTCACATATAGAAGTGACAATATCTAATGAATCATACAGGGAAAGCATTTTTACAGCCTTCTCGGAAGGATGTCCCAACATAATGTGCCACAAGGCATTACTCAAGCTATTTACATGATTCGAAGAATGTGAAACAACTGGCTTAACATTACTTACAAAAGGATGATTAACATTTGTTCTAATGAAATCTAGAATCTTGTCCCTTGAGAAAGATTGATTATCAACAATGTAGAGTTGGTTGATAACCTTCCCAACAGCTACCAACTGTCTAGTCACTTGGTCCTGTAACAAGAAGAAAGTAGTTGAGAAATAGCAATCAATCTTTGATGATGATGCTGATTTGGAAACAGACATAATGTTGTGTTTGAATGAAGGGATGTGCAAACAATCATGTAGCCATAAGGTTTGACTAAGATCTATATCTTTTTTGTGTTTTACCTCTATTATGCTACCATCTATTAGATATACAGGTGTAAGGCAATCAACAGGTTTGGCTTTTGGCAAAAGGCTTAAATGAGAGGTCATATGGCTAGTTGCACCAGAATCAAGGACCAAGCCGAGAAGCATCAAAAACTCTAATGAATTCAATGCTCTAAAAGTAGTCATACCTGCAAAATCAGTGAAATGAGCAAAGTTGATGTGATCAGCTTCCACACCTTTTCCCTTGATCATTCTGCTCAGCTCCATTTCCATTCTTTTGATGTTATTCATCATTCCCATTAGATCTCGAGCTCCTTCATTTTCTATTCCCATATCCATGTCTGTTGGTGCTTCTGCCATATGAGCTGAAATTCTTCCACCTTGTGCATTTTTCTGATCCTGTAATGCTTTGAACCAATCTGGATATCCTATCAGTTTAAAGCATCCAGACTTCAAATGTCCAGTCATTCCATAGTGATCACACTTCAATAGCTTCTTTGCAGCTTTGTCCAACCTCATTTCATTTTCTCTCCTAATGTTATTATAGTTATTCCTTGGTACAGAATTATTCCCAGAACTGTTGTACTTTGCCTTCTGGTTATTACCACCATTGTAATATGACTTGTTAGCTAGCATTGCACTCTGAATAACACTGCTATCAAGATCTGTTTGCAACTGCTGCTGCTTCTCAATGTTCATCACCATTGCATACACTTTCTTCACCTCATGAAGTGGCTCTGCAGCTAGGATCTGGTTTTTGATTGGCAAATAAGAGTCATTGAGCCCAGTCAAGAACTGCATTAGTCTATCCCTTGCCTCTTTACCACCATTAGGTCGATTATGCTTACAAGTATAGCCATGGCAGGTGTAAACGTTTGGTGGATCAATGCTGCTTAACTCATCCCAAAATTTCTTCAACTTAGTGTAATATCCACACAAACTGAGATTTCCTTGTGGAAACCTTCCAATTTCACGCTTCAACTGATATATCTGTGGAACATTATTCGTGCCAAAACTATCCTTCAAATCTTGCCACAATTCTTTTGCATCTTCTGCCATATTAAAGCCTTCAAGAAGATCACTGGAAATTGAATTCAATATCCACGAAACTACAGTATCATTTACCCTGCACCATTGCTCATATTCAAGACTTCTAGCCGTTGGCTTCTCAACTATTCCCATAACAAATCCAAGCTTATTCTTCGAGCTTAAAGCACGCCTCATCGAGTGACTCCATGTCACATAGTTGCTTGAACTCAATTGACAGTTGATATCCGTCAAACTCATGCTATCAGACGGCAATAAAGTCAGTGAATGCATATATCCACCTAAATTCATGGCTGAATTCTCTCTACGAGCTTCATTGAAGCTTCGATCATCATGATAATCTTCATTTCTTTGGTTAATTCTGATTCCATCGGTTCTTGTCGCCATTCTTCGCGATCCTTCCACGAACTTGTTCCCATCCATTACTTTGAATTAACGGAAGCGGTTTGTGAGGTTATTCAAGATTTTCTAGCTAGAATGATTTTCAGAAATAGGATTGACCTTCTCTGATACCACCTAAAGGAATTGGTTGAATTATAGATTAGGATTATGAAAGTCGAAGACGGAAAAGAGAGAATCCAATTTGGGGAATTTTGTATATTCTGTATTTCTGTTAAAATTGTTCTTTGTACTGTATGATATCACGTATATACATAGCACTCCCTAAGCTACAATCATCAGACAATTAATGTGTCTTAAGCTATCATGTACAATGTCATCTATACCCTTCACTTAAGTTACTTTCTATACAAAACGTAAGGGCAAATCTTTCCATAAACCTAACTTCTAACTAACTCAAAACAGTAGATTACATGAAGAATCATCTTCTGTTGTTCTGATTCTTCAACCTGGATCAATATGGAAACTCTCTTTATTGTGCTTATCTATCAATGAAGCAACCTTTTTTATTTTTTGGATGGAGCATGGGCTTTATTTGGATTCAAGGTTTTTCTCACAATCTTTTTTTATCACTCCCTCTTTCCAAAAAGTAAAATAAAATAATAATTTCCATTGAATTTTTAAATTTATACTAAAAACGTGACAAATATGAAAACTCAACGTGTACTTCGTACATTCTCGCATTTTCAAAATAATTACTGATATCAAAAAATGACACAAATATACTCCCAAATTAGTAGTGTAAGCAGGACTATGGCTAGGTTTTCGGAGGTAGAAAGAAATATGTTTCTCGCATTTGGCAAATGCGAAAAAATCAACTTCCGCGTTCAGCAAATGCGAAAATGTAGTGGATTAATTACAATGCATTAAAGACATTGGATTAAAACTGGATAATTATAATTAATTTAATCCTTCGCATTTAGGGTATGCGAAAACTAACTTTTCGCATATGGCATATGCGAACGTATTAAATCTGCATTTAAAAATTGTTTCCTAACTTTAAATTGGTATTAAAATGAAATGTTGTAAATTAAATATTTTGGTTGATAAAATGTTGTAATATTTCAACAAAAAAATACTATTTTAATTGAAAATTAAATTTTCTAAATTAAAAGTATTCATTTGATTTAAGTAAATTTATGTTAGTTCTAAATAGAATTGCAATCCTAAAAATTATATTTGGTGAACAGAAATCGTATAATGCATTCGTCGCGAGGGGTGAATGGCATTTGTCAATTTCATCTATGTTTTCCTGAAACAACTTGTTAGTCTTATACAATGTGGCAAGAATCAAAGCAGTGATAGGGAGCATCCGGCAACCTTTTAAGACATTATTAAAACTCTCGGATATGTTCGAAGTCATTTCTCCCCAACGATATCCCCCGTCCCAATAACGGGTACACTTCTCAAGACCGATTTGCTGAAGATATATGGCTGCATCTCTATTTTTACTTTCTAAATTCATCCATTCTTTTCAAACTTCCCTTTTGCAACATTGAACAAGTCCTTTGACAAGGTCTTTTGAGTTTCGCCGGAAAATTGCCACTAAATTTGCTTTGATGTGCTGCAGACAATAACGGTGCACTCCCATCCCGGAAATTTATCAAGCATAACATCCATAGCAGCAAGAATACCTGTATGGCGATCGAGATAATGCATGTCTCCTTGTCAAGTAGAACAAATGTTTTCAGTATTTAAGGAACCATTTCCAGTGTGCAATGTCTCTTTATCCACGAGCAAACGCGATGGGAACAATTGTGTTATTCGAGCACTTCACACATGCCACGATCAATGTTGCTTTGTATGAACCTCGGAGGTGGGTGGCGTCGACGGTTATGACCGGCCAAGCAGCTCTAAATAAATGTATAGCTGGCCCAAATGCCCAAAAATGTACCCGCACACCTTCTTCTTCCGATTCTTGGTATCTTTAGTGAACTTAAACTGCATACGGTATCTGGGTTCGCTTTGAGCAATGCTTCCCGAAAATCGGCAGCGGTTGTTGAAAGTTGTTTTCCCATGTGTCATACTGAGACTCTCAAGTGCTTTTCTTCGACCATGCCATGCCTTTTTGTAATTGGGGTGACCTGTATCTCTTATTTACTTCGACTTGGATCTCGTGCGATTGAATAACCTGGATCTTTTCGGACATTGGTGTGATCAATCGAGCAATCATTGTGGACGTCAAGTTACGACCTTCGTTTCTTGTGGTTGCACCAAGACAGTTGTGGCTCTCGACCCATACCACCATTCTCCAAGTATTTGTGTCTTTTGCAGGGTAGCTCGACATTTCCACAAGCAAGTAGTGCCGTGGAGAAGTTCTTCCGGTACTTCGGCCCTTTCGTCTCGCATTCACGGCCCACGTATAGGGACGGCTATATTTTACCCGACATGCCCGACCACATCGCAATGTCCATTCCCCACGGCTGTTTGTACCTCTTTCTTGTTAGCAAAATGTACACCATGTCTAACCGTCGCCAATTATCGTCCCACATTGTGATCCCATCGAATCCTCAACCGATTCGAGACTTGTCCATGTCACGATGTCATCAAAAATAGAAATTACTACGAAGATGCGTCATGGTCACCGTAATCATCATCAGACTCATCGGACGGCACATACTCCTCGTCACCGTTCCCATGTACGTCATCTTCTGTGTCATCGTCATCTTCATTGGTACCACCAACACCACTACTCCCTGTACCATCATACTGACCACCAGTAGTTCCTTCCCCAACATCTTGAACAGGTTCATCTGCAACCTCTACGTACAATGCTGGAGGCAAATGGGCACCTCGGTAAATCCATGACATTGACTCGTCGTCTCTTATGGGCGCTTGCCCCCTTTTGCCGTACTCATCTGTGCAGACTAAAACATATTGTAGAGGAAGTATTTGTTGGTTCTCAGATTCTAACAGCCTGTGTACATAATTATCAAGTTCAGAGAAACTCCACACTCGATCGATACGAACTGTTGCATCGGGCGTAAATAACTTCTCCCCATATCCCCAACATGATCGATCACTAGACCAGAATATATTCAGATCGAAGGGACCCGGAAAAGACATATTAAGGGCCTGCACATTTAATTTTTATTCAATTAAACATACAAATACATCAATTCATGCTTGTTATAACAATATTCTACCTCACTAGCAGTAATTTACTCCAAAAACTAACAATAAGTCCTATCTTTAGTGAAAAATCTCTAACATAATTTAATAATTCAAAAAATATAATTCGACATCTATATAACAAGGTTTTCAATTAAAAGAATAACAATTTTTGATCAAACTAATAAATTTAGATTTACACAATGTATTTGATAAAATATAAAATTAACAAAATAAAAACAAATAAAACATGGTCAAATCAATAACATTACAAATAATTGGGTCAGAATATAAAATTCACAAAATTGAGGTATAAAGACCAAAATTCGAGATCAACCGGGTTATTCTCTAAATTAATAAAATAACTCATAATATTCAACAAAATTCAACAATTCACATTATAAAAATAATTTTTATTCTTCATTCTACATCAAATATATATTTATTGAAGCAAATTTTCTAAAACCAATTCTCAATAACTACCGAAATTATTAAATTTAGTAATTTCGTACACTACAACAAGATTAATAGCCCCAAATGACAATAGAATGTATAAATTTTACAAATTTCATAGAGAAAAAAAACTTACCTAAATTGGTTGCCTCTGTCTTGCTCCGTGCAGTCCAACCTTCCAACCTTCAGTATGAAAAATGCCTCTTTCCAGCTCCACCTCTTCCACCGGAATGAAAATTTCAACTGAATACAAGAAGAATTGAAGGTTTTAGTTCTGCCGAATTGGGGGTGATGAGTTTTAAATTATGAGTCTAGCCATCACATTCGCATTCGCCAAATGCGAACATTTATCCAAATTGTCAGCAACTGCCACGTGTCGATACGCTATTGACCAGTCAGATTTTAATAGGATAAAAAGATAATTTCGTTTTTTTTTACCTATATTTTTCTGTTCGCATTCGTTGAATGCGAAAGTCTTATGATGGCCCACACTTTCCTCTTTCCTTTCTCTTTCCGCTTTAATTTATTCAGGTTATTATTTTCGCATTCGGCATATGCGAACTCTGGGTGATGGCCCACTTTGAATTATCTCATTTGTCTTTATTATTTGTTTAAGTTTAACTAATTAATTACGTAAGGTTGTTCGCATATGGTAAATGCGAACATCAGTTTCTTCGCATATCACGAATGCGAGAAACTCATAAATTTCTACCCCTCCAACCCTAAGAACACTTTTTTCTACTAACTAAATTTTGGGTATACTAAACTCACGGACCCTTACTGATATTGTCAATACCAAAAACAACCGATCCAAACGGAGCCTTGTGTGCTCTAATCAACTAAAGATGAAGCAGTAAATAAATATGTGGTAACTCATCACTACCATATATAAAACCGTCACGTAGATGGGGGACAAGAGATAAAGAAGTAGGTGATTTGTTGTTGGTAGCAGATATGTCGTCCTAACTTCTGTCATTATTAGCCGGTCGATAATTCCCAATAGTACATTAACTTTTTTTCTTCCGATAAGCTCCATGCTCATGCTGCCACCTTTCACTTCCATCCTCCAAAGATCCCCAACCTACACACTCACCCTCAATTCCCTTGACAATTTACAAAGTTAATGTAAGTAGGTTAAGCTGTGATTTTTTCCAGAGTTTAATAAGAACTCTAGTTTGAGAAATCATAATATTAAAGATATTATAATTTGTAAATTACATCGTTTTAAGAATAATAATACAATCCACGAAAAATAACGTTACTATTTTTTTATATATGCAGGATACAGTGATGAAAGCTTGTAAGAAGACGTACGGAGTATAAAACTATCAGACATTGTAGGAAAATGGGAAGTAAGAATTCGAGGGAAGAAAACATGAGAAGGATACGTATTACCCAAGAAAGTAATACTAGTACAAAAAGATCCAAACATTGGATGCGGTTGACACTTCACAATGAGGACAAGTTTCAGACGTATCGTGAGATTATTGGAGGGGAATGCTCTTTCCTTGAATAATGCAACCGCAACTTTCTCATGCTGATTTCTCTGCTGTCTGATTCGTACAGAGTTCTCTTGAGTATTTGTTATAATCGGGGTTTTTATTGTGATTACTCGTAAGATAATATTCCCTCTGTTAGTCGAGGTTGCAATTCGCCATTCGTGAATAGTATACTTGTTAAGAAAATTTTGCTTTCGAAAAAAAAAATCTCAATTTAATCAGAATAATAATTTCATGACACTATGTGTGTAATATACCATAGAAATTGTAACAAAGGAGCTTTCTATTTGTTTGAGACAGAAGGGCCTATAGGAGTAGATATCACCTAAATTTCAATTCCTAATGCTCTTTTAAAACTGAAAAGAAACTTGAAAATAAGAGTTTTAATTAGGTACTTCAACGTGATAGGCTGATACCCACGAGGTAACTAACATCCAATATTTCTTCAAAAAAAAAAAAAAAAAACTAACATCGATCCAATAACCTATTTATTTGGAGATTACGTATCTGAACATACATTTTGCGCGAATACCTACTTCACTCCAGATATTTTTATAGCTTTACAAATCAAACGAAAGATGCCTATCGTCGTCAATGAAGATCGAATGACGATCTAAATAAATCTTGTAAATGACGATATATATTTCACGCTGGATGGATGACTAATAGCCAACCAGTGAAAACTTCATTTTTAGAATTGTTAAGATCCACTTTTGACCTAATTAAAGAGCTGCAATCTGAGATCACAACTCGTTTGTTGATTTGTGTTTTCTATAGAAAATTGTTTGCGTTTCAAGTAATTAATTACTTGTTGTTCATTGGAAAATGTACACAAACACCTTAGAGAAGACATTTTTTCTCCAACTGGAAATACACTGCAATTCGAGTATCCTTGGCATAATATATAGTTATATACACATATTCCAATGAACTCAAAAAATCAGTCTTTGAAAAGCACAAGATGACCAAATGCAGCGAAAACAAACATGCAGTCAGAACTTTTTGATACAAAGCTTTTTTTTCAAGCAAGTTCCCAATAAGCCAAAGAAAAACTCAAAACTGCAACCAACCAAATTCAAACTCTAACCATATTTAAACAAAGACAATATTTACACTTTTTTTGTGCTGTTTTTGAGCTTGTTCTTTTTTTCCCCTCCTCAAATATCAGCATCAACATTCAAATCTCCCGATTCATCGATCGATCACCACTTGGATCTATTCTTGAAAACACCCCGTTGAATTTGTTCTGTCATATTAGTATAGTCCACTTTGTTAAACTATTTTTGACGCGAGAACTTTTTTTCGACTCAATTCTTGAACTGACTAATTACTTCTCAACGTCCTAAGGAGAGAGCAGCCTTAACATCCAACCTCCATGCAAACCCGCGGCCACCTTCCAATCTCCACACATCACACGGTAGAGTGCGTGAACTTTTCTCCTTCCCGCACGTGACCACCCTTACATTGCACGTGAACCCTTGTGTCAACAACCGATTCTGAAAAATCCCTCCCTTCATCACCAACCATATCAAAACCTCCTGATCTTCCTTCCCCGCAACCATCTCCCTGTAAACATTGTTAACCCAAACCACCTTATCTAAACCGTCCGATATGAACCCCGGACACGTGTCGTTCTCTAGATCCATCAACATTGATCCCCTGTCAGAAAACCACCCGTTTCCACCGTACCCGAACCCATTCTCCCACGTCTCCGTTATGCTTTCCACGTAAACCCAAGTGGAGACCACCGCCGGCGCCACCCTAGACGGCTGAGCCACCGTACCGGTCATCCCACTCAACCAAAAGTTACCTTCTTCGGCACCGTACTGATCTTCACAGCTCCCTCCAAAACTGAACCCCGTAGGAAATTTCTGGACCCCATTAACAAAACCTCTTACAACAGAACGAGGATTTTTCTCCGCACTTTCCGGAGTCTCCGGCAACAAAGATAAAGTAACAACCGCACTTTTTTTCTCCTCCTCCCCGCTTCCGCCGGAGGAGACCAACCTAGACTCATTTTCTTCTGATTTCAATCTTTTTATATTGCCATTTCTACCCCTCTTAGTCTTCATCGTCACACTTTCTGTGCTACCATCACTGCTATCATTCTTTTTCTTCCGATTATTATTATTCTTGACGTACCTTCTTTTCCCGCGCCCACTTTTCACGTACGGATTGTTGTCTTTCTCCGTGCCGGAGCTACTTGAACCAGAGCTGTTTGATACCGGTTTTGGCGCGATTGGCCGGAACCTCAGCATTATCCGGTCCATCCTCGAAAGATCATACGCGCCGCCGCCGCCACCACCACCGCCGTATCTAGCTACACAACACCCACCGCCTTTTAGATCCATTTCATGAAAGAAAAAATCCAACCCAATATTTTTTTGGGTAAGTTTTTTGATCAGAGAGAATCCAAAAATGAAGAAGACGAAACAGAGGAATTTTCCAATGAAGTGAAAAGAAGTTAACCAAAGGTGGAAAAATATATAAAAGGAGAAGGAAGGGAAGAAAGGGATGACGCGTGTTGAAAGGGTGGGGGACACGTGGGAGGGGATAAGTGGAACAGATTGGTACCCGATATTTAGTGAACGTGGCTCTAGAGATGGGGCCCACGGGGAGGTGGAAAAAACTAGCCAATGAGAATGGAAAGAGGGGGCACGTAAGGGTGGTGGTGCATGGATAATCGTGTATTCTCTCTCTCTCTCTCAGTCTTCGCAAGTTCCAGAAACAGGGACACCTGGACCTCTGTTTCTTCTTCTTCTTCTTCTGCCTGGCTTTTAATAAAAAGGTTCTGTTGAGAGAGAAAATAAAAATGAAAAGAAAAAAGAAACAAAAAAAAAAAGCCCTCGGAAATATTTTGGATATGTTCCACGTGAACGGTGGATTAAGAAGAAAGAAGTCATGTCTGGTGGTCTTCGCTATTTCCTGATATTCTGTCTCCATAAGTTAGATTTGTGAATCAATCAAGATATTTGAAGGTGATAGGAGATTTTGGTTAAAATCTGCTGCCGGAACCACTTACATTTTATCGTGTTTCTTTTTTCTTTTTTTTTTGGTCATAGATGCGATAAAAACATTGGCGGAAGAGAATTTAATCTTGGCGAATGGGGAGAGGAGATTGATAATGTATATCGAAAAAACCAATTTACTAGTTGTTAATTATTTGGTATCGTTGCCTATACATAATCTTATATAAATTTATATAGGAAAGACGCCGTAACTGGAATATGATGTAATAAGAGTTATGTGACTTTAGACCTTAATGATCTCCTTTGTTAAAAAAAAAAGAAAAAAGAAGGGAGAATTCAATTAATGAAATGTAAACTCATCCCATTTCTAACCATGTTTGATCAGCGATTGGATTCTTAGACTTTTTTTTTTTTTTTTTGTTTCCCCCCGTTATTGATTTGGTTAGTTTATTTATACAATAAAAGGAGTAATCAGATTGGCTGTGTCCATATATACACATTCGTCGATTGCTTAATTCCTTTTTTTTAAAAAAAATTTGGTGATGCAATTCATTTCTAAACCATGCACCACCTTGAATTTTTTTTTTTTTTTTGAAAGAACACTAATGAGTTATCAAATTTCAATATTGTTTGAGCTAAGAGTATGTTGTTAATAGTTAAAGTTATAGTTGGATCCTCTATTTGAGTTACGCATTTTGTACCGAATAAAAAATTCATTGGACTGGCTTTGTTTAAAATCCATAATATTCATTTGTTTGAAACTCCCTCCGTCCAAAAAAATAGTCTACATTGAGTTTTCTGATTCGTACTAAAAATAGTAAAAAACTTAAAACTCAATGTGGACTATTTTTGTGGGACAAGAGGGAGTATTTGATTTCCAAAGTTTTCAAGATAAAACCCAAAAATAGGTTAAAGAAACTGACTAATAGGAGTATATTCGAGTGATTTACTCTTTCAATTTGTTCGTTTTCGTTTCTTTTTTGATTTTTTGAGAAAAAAAAATTGACCGTTATCCCTATATATAGAGCATCAAGATATAGAATAGTATGTGACTAGAATAAAGTGCCAGCCTAAATAATTAAACTATGTGTGAAATCACTCAAAAAATACATCATTAACATAGTAGTAAACGATGACAAGAAAAGGAATTTATAATGTGTGTAATGTCGTCATTCATGCTTCAACTTTCGCTTTTAGCCGATTTTCAACCCTAATATAACACCTTTTTTTGTAATTTAAATTTAAATTGATCATCCTGCTTAAATCAATCATAGTTTGGATCAGCTAGATTATGGGATCCGCGCCCTAACTATTTCTCAACTCATAATCACACTTTTTGCATTCCATTTTAATTGTCCAATTTATTGATTAAAAAATATACAACAATTAACCAAAAAAAAAAAAAAAGTATACAACAACAACCAAATCAGTGTTTTTTGGTTGAATTTTTTTTTTTTTCCAAAAGTTTTTGAATTCAGCTAAATGAAGAATGAAGCTGGTCTGCCTTCCAAGGTGGAAGACAAAAGTGATGAAATGTAAACCTACAACTTATGGGAAGAAAGATCCAGATGAAAGGAACTGATCAGTGCAATGTTTACCCTAAAATCTGCAAAAGAAACATCAAAATTTGCGGAAAGTATCAAACGGCTCTTCATGGTGGGAGGAGATGCTAAGCTTAATTTGCGGGTCTCAAAACTCCTAATTGATTTCATCAATGCTATTAATTATTGTTTTTTTTAATCCAATCTGTATTTATCTTTGCTCTGACGTTCATTCATTAATCTGGAAGAAAAGAAAACAGTAGAGTGTTAGGGAAAAGAACTATACTTGACAAGCACATTAATCTTATCCTACCTACATAGTTTTAGTTTCAAATTAACAGGGAGAAGAGTTTTACTAATTAATAGTTGACATCAAGAGATTGCAAATCTCTAGGTATGTCACAAAATACACTGATGTATATGGTTCAACAAAATATGAACTGTTTTCTGACCAGCATTTTGGACAATATAACTAATTTCCTGTTTATTGAAGACTTTCTTTTTGTTCTTTTAAATTTCATTGAAGACGTTTTTAATTATCTCAACTTCATTCTTCTTTGTATCTACAGTCACAACTGATGAGTCGTCATTAAAGTCATGGTCGAATTCTGGCCAATTTGGCTTGGAAACTCAATAGTCAACAGTTAGGTTAGCTTGTCTGTGAATGTCGAAATAGCAGTAAGATGTAAATTGACTAATGTACGTATATCGACCAAAAAAAAAAAAACCTTTGGTTTTCTTCCATGAAGGTAGGAGCACTTGGCACAATTTTAACCAATTAGGCATAAAGTTGCACATTTAATTTTTCTTCTAAATGTCATTCAGGATAGTGACATTCTGCCTTGAAAGGAAGATTAATTGCCCCTTCCAACCTCCAATGATGCTGAGTTTAGAAACATTAGGAACTTACTAGTTTATATCATGAATGGGCGAAATAACAAGGTCTAAGTGTATCAATCACGACGATGCATTTATAGTCAGATGTAAACCTACGTTTCCATCAAACGTTTGGTAAATTAACTATAGCATTTTCATTTGTGTTTTTACTTAAAAATAATGCATTCTTTACCTTTTTCCCTTCGCCGAAATTCATGTTCCTGGCTACATGGTTAGCATGGAAGAGCTGTTGAATTATACTCTCTCTGTCCCAAAATTTTTATCCAGTTTAAAATTTCACTTTTAGTGCAATTTAAACTAAAAAAGAAAAACCCAAAGACGGAGGGAGTATTACTCAGTTACAACCACGATGAAAGCGTTCGTCCATATATTTACGTCTGAGTTGAAGTAAATCTCATAAAACTATATCTACTGACGTCAAACCAAGTATTTAGATGCTAAAGATGATAGTAAGAGGAAACAAAGAGGTCACTTAGGCAACAAGAAATTATCTTTGGAGCATCAAGGCTTCAAATCTTCTAAGAAGAAAAAAAAAACATAATAGAGCGATTTCGATTTTTTCTTTAAAAAAGAAAAATTATTCAAAACCCTAGCCTTATTATTTATTTTTTTTTGGGAAAAAAATTCATTCAAAATCCTAGCCCTATTAGCCACCCATACAAATAATTGAGAGATGGTTTTATATCACATTAGAACTACAAATATTTCAAATTTTCCACTGGAGCGAGTGGTATCATCAGAATTTGATTACAACCCATCGATGATGGCCATGAATGGCGGATGAAATAATTACAAATTTTGATACTTTTAATCCTAATTCGTTCCTGGCTAATTATTGGGGCACACAGTCTATGCATGCTTAATATTTTTTTTGGTTCGAAAGCATAAAGATGTGATTCGTACATTATCAAATTTCAAACATCATGACATCTGTTCAAGATAGCATTATCTTGATCATTTCCATGCCCTATCACCATGTTAGGTTAATTTACCATATCAACAGTATCTTTGTTTATGGTAGCGCTATGCATGTAGGTGAATACATTAGACCAATAAACACTTTGTATGGTAATTAATTAAGCATGCTTATGATTATACATGGTTCAAATAGTTACGTGAATATACAACAACGATCAAAATATTTATTGCGGGTGTTTTAGTTTTTCAAAGGAATCTGTTCGACTTAGCTCGAATCAATTAAAAAGAGGAGTTTTGGGAAATGTATGATACTCTCTTCGTATCCAAAAGTAGTCCACATTTAGTAGTATAAATATCAAAATATGGATTATTTTTACATTGAAACAAGAGAGTATATTTGAAAAAAAAACCTAATGTTAACTAAGCATATGTAATAAATTAGTACAAATATTAAAATTTAGTATGATTTTTTTTTAGACGGAGAGAATATATTTAATAATAAACTTAATGTTAACTAAGCAAATGTAATAAATTATTACACTGGAGACGTGTTACATTAGACACAATCATAGTAAAATTGACAGTTTTGGAATCCGGTAAAAATTACCCAACATTTTGTGATCAGTCATGTTCTTCTAGTGAGGGTTTCTGAAAGCTAAGTTGGAGGGGTTAAACTTTTTTTTTTAAAAAAAGAATACCAACTACCAAATCCCTTTAAAATTATGCACTGCTCTTTCGACATTTGTCCGTTCCTAAGATTTGAGAGATTTGCCAATGTTTGATATGCTATTCCATGTCTATATTAGTGGCTGAGAAACAAGCGAAAATAAAGCTGCCCAGTTCCAGTCCATGCCAGAATCATTTTCACTCTTACAATTTTCGTCTTCTTGACTTTGTTATGGGAAAAATGGTGTTAGAAAAGACATTGTCAGTGAGACGGCGTATAATATAGATATGATATGTAAACGAGTAATGTAATTCGAGGCTGTATCCGTTCGTAATTCCTTTTATTTTTCTCATACAAATACACACACACATATATATATATATATATTAAGGAGGAAATGATAGATTATAATCTATTAGAAAAATAAAAATAAAGAGAGACTAAAATCCACTAACAAACAGGCAGACCAAAAGGAGCCTTTTCTTGTAAGATTAATCTACGAATGGACGAACTTAAAATAATGATAATAATAA